ACTAGTACTGTCCACAATCTTTCTCCCACTTATCGAGTCGAGTAAAATGAATTTTGCTGTCTTAATAATCTTGCTATCACCGTGTACATCAAAAAGGAATTTTACTATGACTTGCGTAATTTCAACAAGCTTAATCTAATTCTATAATGACAGTTATTTCCTAAAGGCCGTGTGAACATATTTATTATTATACATATTATTGTTCCTTTTGGTGCCGACTGAAACATACGGCTTCAGCAGCACACCTCTCCTTTGTTCTGTCCTCTGAGATCCTCTTTAGCTGGAGCCACGATTGCTATTATATCCTGCATTACACTTTTGGACGTCCAGCTGGTATTTTCCCATTCAGGTTTTACCCGAGAGTACGCCTGGCACGCTATGTCATTCAACTGTCACTCCAGCGTGTGTCTATTTCAGCTCCATTATTTTAAGCATATCTTAGTGAGTAGTTAGTTCTTGGTTGGTTTGTTCGCAAAGTTTCTTGTTGCTGATTCTTTTCTGTTATCTGGTATTCATTATAAAGTGAAGACAGCTGTTGATAAAATTTTCCAGTTGCCTGTTTGAAATGCCTTTGGAGACACATGCATCAAGTTTCTGACCGATACAAAAGAAATATGACTCACTTAACAATAATGTTGGAAATTTCAATTTTGTTCTTTAAACTGATTACAGCATATCTACTCTAGTTTTAATTAAATTTTACTGCTGGTTATATACGATCACTTGAGAATGGGGAATTCGACTTTATACACAATCATTACAATATAGACCTATCGGAAATATTCTGTTTCTATGGTTTGTATACTACTACTGTAGAATTCTAGTGATTTTGTAAATTGGTTAACTAAAGGCAAATATATTTATCTAAGGAGATATTTCAAATTGCAAGTGTTGTCTTGACAACGCGGTGTAAACTACTGTCTATATCCTAAACAGTAGGAATGTCTAATAAACCTGCTACTCAGAGGAGCAGGAAAGTTGGATGAGTTTTAGGAATTCTTTCAATGTATTTTTATATGTTTTGTAGAACTGCAATAGAAACTTACTAACTACTGGGGAAATCTATGCACAGAAGGTTATTTCCGCAGCTGCATTTCACGTGACTTTTGAGTGAACAGACTGAGTGAACCAAAATATGGTATAAAACTATAATCCTATCTTCTATTGGAAAAGCGTCCTCAATTACTTTATGAGGACTTTTAAGCATACGAGTGAGTTAAGAGCAATTGCAAAGGTGTTACACACAAGGATATAAATCCTATCTAAGGTATTGTGAAAACTTCATATTTGATCATAAACTCACTGACTTTATTTGGAAAACCACAAAAAAGCAGCAGGGTATACTGGATAGCTATGTCACCCTTTTCTGGTACTCTGCAGCGGTGCCCACCTTTGACTCAATGGTCAACAAGCTTGCCATGTAATCTGCAATTCCCTGACAGGGTGTTAGTGGCGTATTGCTGAAGTGCCCCAAACTAGGATGAAACAAATATTCAGTACCCTTTGGTTTCTCTAATTGAAGTTGGCTCTTACTCAAACTGCAAATCCTTGAAATTTCTGCAATTTAATTACTTGGAGAGATTCTGCAAACTTTAACAATCAAAGAAACATTTATTTTCAACGATCCTATATCTTCCAGCCGTAGAGTCGGATTTATATTACTGAATAAAACATTAAATTGAACTAAAACTTGCCTGGTCAGTATACATATGATAACAATAAAGATGGTTGCAATGACTTTTAAAGAAGCGAGAAGAGTTGAAGTGGATGAACAACAAAATCTTTTAAAAGATTTGTAAAAAATTATATTTGTAAAATCTCTGCGAGATTGAAATGAGTAATTCCAACGTTTCGTTCGGAAATATGGTCCGAACTTCTTCAGAGAAATTAATCGAAATTAACATAACAGGTTTATATATAAAAGTAACACCTTTAGTTTTTAAAAAACTTTGTCCAATCATGATTTATAAAACAAATATTAACAAGTATAATAAACAAAACTGTACGAGTTGTGATCAAAATTTCACCTCAGACTTACAAATATTGATCTACCTTTGTTAAACACTTTAAACACAATGTGTATGTGTATGTGTGTGTGCGGATAAACAGTTGTAAAATATTTCTTAACGTCTCCATAAGTAGATATAGACAGTCGGGAAACTTTGACCAAGTATTATTAGTTAATGATACATATCCATTCTTATTTATTAATCAGGATTTCCTGTGCATCAGCTAACATCACACCTTCATGTTTGTTCAAACTGTTAGTATCTAGAATTTTATGATTAGACGTATTTTCAAAATTATGGTGTTTAGGATTAGAGTTTAGTTGAAGCATCCTGTCAAACTTATTACTAGGTCTTCTTTCTGAAGATTGAGCTGCTTTATTCGACCTACTGAAGTTGTTAAACAAGTGGATTATTATTAAGATTTGAATGTAGGTTAGGTGATGTTAAAAGTACGATTATGATAACAATGAAGAAGGCGAAGATAAACTGAAGTGTGATAAATTTTAGTGTTAAAATAAAAAAAGAACATTACCATATCCTGAGTCAAGAAGGAAGTTTAAGAAAATATTTTTGAATACATAGTTCAGTGCTTCGGCTATACGTAAATGAATGAAAACGTAAACATTCAGAGTCAATGAATTTAGTCCTGTAGATAACTTTAAAGGATAATTAGTGTAAGGGTGAATGACCTAACTGAAGAAGCTGTTCATAAAGACAGAGGACTTCATCATTCTATATTCGCCTTACACCGACCATACCTGGTATTTTTCAGCTACATGCGTACAACGTCCAATATAATCAGATGCTTAGGGGCATGTTGAAAAGCAGATGTTAATAACAAGCCACTTGAGTCTAGAGGAGGGCTGTTTACGTCGGCCATGAAGTCATCAGTAACATCATGTTCCACTTAAAGAAATGTGGGGTGGTCGATATGGATTTCTGATAACAGTTTGTAATCAATTACTCTGTATGTTTTGAAATTGATTCTTTGGTTTAAGCTACTTTTTGCCTTTCTTAACCAAAAATCATCTAAGTGATTTGATTTCATTAAGCGAACTCTTTCCAAGCACTCATCATGTATACGTGATGCTGCATGAACTTAAAACCTAGCCAACTGTTGAGTTTTCACTGATACACCTAGACTCACTACATTGCTGATCTTTCACTTCTAGTTGGTCTGCACTCATTACCATCAACTATTTTGAATCACCTAGTTAACTTCCATAAAAGTGTTTTGTTCTCTGATCAATTAATGTTTCCACAAAACGTAGTTTTTTTAGAATCTTCTAGAATCTCTTGATTTTCCTTTCGATTAATGTAAACTAAAACACTTTTAAATTATTCTGATTATCACTGACTACAAGATGAAGCTGGCTAAAAGTCCACTTAGAATTCGTGAACAATGAGTTCCACCAGATTGTGTGGAAACAACGACACTGCTTGATCGTTATACTATATATTGAGAACCCCATCCAAGTGGCTGTAAGGTAAACCGGCGTGTTTCGTACCCTAAAGCCTCTGTTTTAGATCCCTTATGGAGTCTGAGTACGTACTGTTGATGCGTCTCAAACAAGGACGAAGCAACCGTTCAGTACTCCTTCATTTTTGGTGGTCCTTAAATATACATCATTTCCTGGTCTAACTTTAAGCGGTCAAAAATGAAGTCATTTCTTGCCAAGAAGTTGAACTTAGAGAAAAAGTCTCACGAGAAGTCATATTGCTAGGAGTGCAACTATGCCTAACTTCTAGAGTATTTAAATTCCAAGGGAAAATGTATAAAGAAACTGAAGGAGTTGTTGTAGGGTCACCGATATTCCCAGTAGTGGCAGATATATAATAATGGGTAGGTGGGGAAGATTAGCTACTGAAATGTTCATCCCCATATCAGAAGCGTTGTGGGGAGGCATGTAGACGACACATTCACCGTACTTAGAACACAGGACATAGATAGATTTTTTGAGCACATCAACTCGAAGGTAGAGGCAGTCGGGTTCACTTATGAATTGAAAAGTCAGAAAGAGGAGCTTCCAATTTTAGACTGTAGCGTAAATAGGAAAGGAGACAGGAAGTTAAACACTAGTGTTTACAGAAAAGAAATTAGGAGAATAATTCAACTACAGAACTCACTACATACAACCATACAACAGAATGGGATAAGATGACAGTTTTAAAATCTAATATAACAGGGTGGAGGGAGAGATTGATAACAGAAGCTTTATTTATCAAGTCAACTGAAAATACCTTTGATACGAATGATTCGATACCTGCTCATCTCGAAATCTGGAAAATTCTACAATCCTACGATGAATACGAAAAATAAAGAAAACTATAAAATAAAAGTTTGGAAAATGTGTGGTAATAATTATTGTGATTATGAAAAATACGTTGTGTTCGAAAAGTCATCTAGTAAATAATACTGCTTTACTGTGTGATACATCTTCTATCCAATAAACAAATTAATATGGTATTCTCAAGTATTGGTTTAGTAGGGAAAATTAATCTGATCCCCACTAGTGACTGGCCCTATTCAGGCAGTTAATTTGGGGTTCCAGTAGGAGGACGTGACCATTAGGGTACAGAAAGTTGAGGGTGAGGCAGTAATTCATCCAAGAAGATATTGCAAAGTGGTCACGCTATGTCATGCATCGGCAGAAGTTGGAATTCATAGACTGGTCATTGAATCGGTTGCCAGTGTCTTAATGGTCTCCGAGCTCGTCTTGTAACCAGAAGGTCCTAGTTTCGAACCATCGTGGTTGGTGCGTACTGCTAAAGAGTCCCGAACTAGTCTAACAAAACAGCTGTCCAATACTCCCTGCAGGCTTTTCAATTTTTCTCTAACTTATTTTAGCTCAAGATGAAACCCTCCAACTAATAGGGAATTGAAGATTTCAATGACTCATCTTTGAAACCATATTCCTTTTGTCCCTATGACAAGGTATTAAGAGCATTTTATTTTTGTCCTCTTATCTTGATTCCTCTATCCCTCATCAGGTCGAGATCATGTCAAATCAACAAGTGGTACATCACATATGAAAGCAAACTATGTTGAGCTGAATAGTAACTTCAATTTGTTAGAATTTTCAATTGATCAATTACCATCAAGTGCCAATTGTTCAGAGCATAAGATCTCTTTGCGTTCATTGCAAATTATTATGAAGATAATTACAGATCAAGTGGAGTTCCGTAAGGCATTTATTGATTTTCTGCCAATTCTATCCCATAAAAGTTACGCTGGTTCGTAGTAAGTTGTAAGATTGAATTTTGTTGTTTTTTTTAAATTCAGGTAGATACCTTGTAAACACCTCTTTATTGAAAAAAATATTATTCAATGTTCAGTTCATCTCCTCTTTTTTTATAAAGTACGTATACACCTATTTATATTGATTCAGATAAATTTAAAACTCTAAAATGACAATGAATGATTGCAGTGATGACAGTGTGACAGATGGTGATACTTTTCAAAGTATGAGCGTAGGGTAGTTAAATACTCAGGAACTGTTAGTTCTCCTCATAATTGTCCCATACTGTATATTTTAATTCTGAACTTTGAAATATGAGTAAGTCAGTTTAGATTCTAAAAAAGTATTATATCAATAGATGTACTATCTGCAAACTAGGGCATAGCTGGTTACTGACAAGATCTTTGAACTGTATTATTACATTATTATTTGTCTTTTTAGTTCTGAACGGAATAATGAGGCTAAAAGAGGCGCATCACTATTTCATTTGATTCTCTGCAGTCTTTGTTTGTTAACTGGCTTTATGATTGCTAAAGAGTTATCATTCTCTCCTCACATGATATCCACCATATCGCTCTGGCAACCATGCCTAACTCGTTACTCACTTTCCATTTAGGTTCCACACAATGGACTGATGGGTGAGTGATTTTATTCATCGGTCTTCTCAGCGTGTATCCAACCCATCTCAATTTATTCTCGCATATTTGTTGGATAGAAGGTTGTTTACTGGTTTGCTTACTGCGTCCCGTATCATTGCAGGCTAAAGTCCGTTAGGAATGTTTTGGTGACACTTCTGTGATGTACATGGAAGCATAGTTTTGACATTATTGCTATGAAATTCAAATTTTGTTGCTTATTATCCTCGTCTACACCGTGTTGTAGTTGAAGCGATTCTCATCAGATTCGGTAGGTTGCAGAGATGTCTTTCCATAGATTTCTACTGTTGGTGGTGATGGATCCTTGCTGGTTATATGTCCTCATCACCTGTCTTTGCTACTTCTTCTGCCAGTTTGTTGGTTTTAGCCTGCAGATCTCCGAGTTTGTGAGATATTACACATTAATCCTCCATGAAGCCAAGATCTTCTAGTGTCTTTCTATTGGTCCGACATATTTATGTTTTCTGACACCCCACTCATGGTCTGCTGCATGATGCAGTCCGACACAGTGAGGGAGATCATCAGTCATAGCGGGGAGCCTCGTCTTACTCCTCTCTTCATTTCAAATGCTTCACTGAGCTTTCTACTGTGAACCACCTGGCATTCAGATATATATCAGCAGTCTACCTGACGTACATTGGTTTCAATAGATTGTAAATAAAATATGCTTATGCACTAATGCTGATTACAGAAATGATATTTAGACGTGAAAATCCTCAACAACTCCATTTGGAAACCAAAATTATATGTGATATCCTTGATACCATAAATAACAATCACTAAGGCAAGCATGATAGTATGATCGTTTATAGTGCTAGTTAAACGATATAAGTAGCTGAGAACCACTAACATCCATCAGTAGTTTCAAATGGTAACTGCGGTATGTTTTCATTTAACTGAATTTTAGATTTTCCCGTCGATTGATTGGACTGAAGTGCTCGGTCTCAGGTTGACGTGTCGGCTTCTTTTGCATTTGCTTCGACGATGTCAAGGCATTTAATTAGAATTAAATTGGTGGATGGTGACTAGCAGTGGAATCCAGAATAACCCGCATTTCGTCCTGTTTGGGACTCGTCATCTGGATTTACCTGCATTCCCCAGTGAGTGGGAACATCATCACTCACACTCACTGGGGAACGCAGGTAAATCCAGATGACGAGTCCCAAACAGGACGAAATGCGGGTTATTCTGGATTCCACTGCTAGTCACCATCCACCAATTTAATTCTAATTACATTCGATGTGTTTTCATCTAGAAGTGTTTGACTAGCAAGTTGCCAATGCGATTCTGTGAATTATCAGTTCTTCAGTGTAGCTAGATAGATTTTATGGTGGTTTTAAAAGATTCAGGACTGAGTTGCGTTATACTGGTTACGCCGCTGTTAATTTTGACCTCAAGAGAATGAAACGGCAGTCCGTCTTCCATTTAACCTCCCTCCAATGTATGCGACAGGCTCACAACTACGTGCTTAAGTCTTTCTAGACTGAGTTTTCAGCTTCAACATCAACAAGATGTGAGCTTTAGAATTCTGTGACAATGTATCAACTGCGTCGGTGGCATAGCGGTTAGGAAGCTCGCCTGCCATGCACATGGTCCGGGGTTCGATTCCCGGTCGACGCACACCTTTGCCTGGCTAAGCCAGAAATAATGCTGGTAAAGAGTAAAGGTTAGGCACGAAGATAGCAACCCCATCCTGTAAAATAAACGGCGCCACATAAACTTCAAGCCACTAGCCTGAAGCCCTATGTTCCAGTGGGGAACGTGAAGGAAAAAAATGTATCAACTGCCTCTCCTAATGACCGTAGATGTAATTCTCTATCTTTAGAGATTAACTTACTCTTTTATTCACCTACAGTGGTATCGGTTATTTCCTTTACCTGATAAGTGGCCTATTGTTCATGTGATTTTTGTATCATTGCATGATAGATCTGATTTATACCAGTATGTCTACTGACTGTAGACTCATCTAAGAACCAGACTTCGAAGATTTCATTAGCAATCTTCGTAAATTTTTACATTTTTCCAGTCGATTTAGTATCCGCAATTGTCCGTATACATCAGTAATAAGTTTATGTTTGTAGATGTGGAGCAGGTTATTAAACTCATGAAGGTTTCCAGAAACTTACTTCAAAATGAAGACATAGCTGGTATGATGTTGTCTAAAAAGGCAACAGTGAAGGATAATTCTTAATTTAATCAACCAGATTAAAGAACAGGCACACACATACGCGCACAAATGCATTAATATCACCTATCAGAACTACGAATCTTCTTCATCCTTTGTAAATAACCACTTTTGAGAGGAACGTAGATCTTAACAGTCTTTTGTTATTAGCACTGTTGTTAGTTGCTTTTTTCTATGAAAGAAATTCCTACAAATTTAATTACCAACAGTTTTTGATTGAAGAGTTTGAGATTACAGGTTGGATTGCTAATTCAGCTGAAGAGTCCCAAACTGGGACGAAACACTTGTCTAGTACTGAAACCAAGTTTCCAGTGGCCATCGAACTAAAATCAGTCCTTGATGAAATTTGAAACCAATTAGTTCCCTTCATACAAAAACACTTAAAATTAAAAATGTGACAGAAGGCTGACTAACAATCTTTTACACAGTGGTCATTCTGCATTTTCTTTTCTGTCTTTGTTAAGAATGTACACATAAGAAATTGCTGTTTAGCATAGTTGTCTAAAGATTATATATCGATTTGTGGGTATATGAATTGCATGTACACGCACGCACGCACACACACACACACACACGCAAACAACACAAAGTCCCTGAATATCATTATGCAATGTGCTTGTGTGCGTTGTGTGCATATGTGACTGCTTTTTTCCCGCTTCTACGTTGAAAGTGTACAACAGTAACATAAAAATAACAATTCATCTCATCAATTGAACAAGACATTCTTGTTAGTAGTTCAATGTTCAATGTCGCTTTGTTAATATTAATAATCTTGTAATAGTGAATAAGATAATAGATGTTGTCAGTATTCTGTGATCGCGGTTGCAGTCAAAACTGAATAGGATAAAGAGAGGTGGATAGGCAAGTTCTGTTTTCATTCTTTTTCGTCTTAAAATTCGTGTTCTTTATTTTATTTCATTTCAAGTAGAACAAGAGGCTTCAAGCTAGGGTATTCAAGTTTCAGTAGCCATGACGTTGTTTTATTTATACTGTGCGCGGGTGCTATAGCCTTGCTCAAACTTTCCTAGCTACAAAGACTACTGCCTGCTAAGCGTGGTTTAGAAGTGCGTCAGCCGAGGTTAGTTGGTGGTTGGTGGACATTGTGCCACTGGACCGTCAATGCTATGAGCAACATCCGTCTAGCCACTAGGGCAACCCTTTTTCCACAATTCATTAAAACGAATTATCACTAATTCCATACACATATGAACCAGTCAATCGAAACAAATAAGTAATGCTGATGGTCTTATCTCAAAACACTAAGAGTGAGATAGATAATTGTCCCTTAAACAGTTGGTGACTAATAAATAAGAGAGTGAAGAACGAGAAGGTCAGCGAAGATATCTTTCCGGAAATTTCATTCCCAAAAGCTGTACAATCGCAATTATATAAATAAGTCCAAATGGATGCAATAAATATTTTGTATAAAGCAAGAACGACAATTTGTGCAGAATAAGACGGTACCACCATTAGAGATATATTTACTGAATTGTATAGCTAGAAAAGCTTATAAGATCATGAGCCATAAAGTATGTTTTAGGCTTTATACTTCAGTAAAAAATAATGCTGTTTCAATGTGTGTTTGTTTCCGACACTCATTGAACAAATTAATATGGAAATGGAGTTATGTGCTCTGCGCTTCAGTTCCCAGCCGACAAACTTGTAAACCCTTCTAAGCCGGTAAGAATCCTAACAAAGAAGGAAGGTTTGTTACGATGCTATCAACTCCAACCTTTAAAAGAAAGATCATCGCTAGTGAATCTTCATAGTTCAAACTTGAAGTCCTGTGTTTTACTAGAATAGCGAACGAATAAAAATATAATTCTACAAACGTTCTTTTCAAATCGTTGAATATGCCCATCAGAATATTAGACATAAAAGAATAAGAAGCTCAGTAGCAAAGGTAGTTTCTTGACGATTTCATCCTAAAATGCTGTACAATCACGTTTTTATGCATATGTTTACATAGTTTCAAATATTTAATTCAAATTAGTAATAAGGGGTGTTTAAAGGAAATTGTTATTCATGTGATTTCCTTGGGTTATGAATAGGACACAAAGCTTCAATATCACATCTGCATTTTGTCCTATTTTTGCTGTTGTCCCATTTAGCTGGCTTCACGATTTCCCTTGGTCTCTTATCTCTTCCCCACAAGACCTCTCCCATGTCACTCGTCTTTTCCCATATGGGGTCCACTCCTGTGATGATCTGGTGCGCGATATCATTCGGCAGTCTCCTTAAAGTGTGTACGAACCATCTCTGTTCCCTTCGAAAACAACAGGTTATCGACTGCTTTGTTCCCACAGTTTCTGTCACACATCAACTTTATATTTCATATCCTGTGGTGCATTGTTTGTAATGTAAACTCTACACTGTTTTTTCAATCTTTATTTATCTTTTATTTTTTTGGCATTGGTTTTTATTTATTTATTGATTGATTTTAAAAATCTTATATAGTTTATGAGGTAATTAGATGCAATATACTGTAATGCACGCTGAAAATTCCATACCTGTATCACAAATACCGTTTGGAATAAAGCTGTTATTATTATTATTATAATTCTACCTGGTTATTTGATCTTCAACACAGAACCAGCGAAGTAGGCAGCTGTTGATAAACGTCTGCAGTAGCCTGTTAGGAATGCAGTTCTGTGCAAATTTCTAGCCCATACAGAAGAACTGACTAACTTAACAATTATGTTGAAAATCCGAATTCTCTTATTTATGCTAAGTGCAGAACATTTTCAAAATAATTTTACAGTGACTAAAGTCAGTCTTGAAAAGCAGTCATATTTGACACAAAAGTTTTGAAGGTGTGAGTGAATACGTATCAAAAGGGGTATAGAAACAAAGTGCCACAGGATTAGAAAATGGTTCCATAAAATATAAAATAGTCGTTTTAGAAAGACATGTGTGAGTGAGATGTGCATATAGAGAAAGTGAAATAATAGTTTTTATAAGTGATGATGAGAAATGGGAACTAAGGCATCCAGCTGAACTAGATCTATGATAAATGAAGAGATTGAAATGGGTCTTTTTTGAACACATAGGTCCAGCTTCCAGATGTATGTGGCGAGTACTATTGAAGTTCAAAACGTCGGAAACACACTGTCTTCGATAGATTTTTGTTTCACTGTTAGATGGTTGTACGCAATTAGCAGAAAGTCTTGATTGACCCAGGTTTCGTGCTAGTTGGCACTCACCAGTCAACAAGACGTATCTGCAACCTTCTGAGATTCAAATCCGCGTCACCTATTGCTGCAGTAAGAGACGTTACCACTGAGATATTCGGGCTTCACAATTCACCTGCTGTTCACTGGGATGACGAGCCACCTCAGATGGTGGCCACATTGCAAAAGTGACTGACAGAATTCATTCTCCACTAAACAAAGGACTAGACACACATGATTCTAGTTACTAACTAGAGTTCAATGAAAGTATCCTTTAGAAAGTCGGTTACGAGCCCGAATAATTCAGTGGTGGTAAGGCCTCTGACTGCAACACTGGGTGACACAAGGACACGATTTCCCCTAAGGTTACAGATACGCTTTGCTGACTGGTGAGTGTCAACTAGCATGAAAACTGTGCCAAACAAGGCATCCTGCCACTCGCCTTCAACCATCTAACATCAACAATTAAATGTTCACCATGATGGTGAGCTACCTGGAATGGTGGCCACATTGTAAACCTTACTGAGAGAATTCAATCTGCATCAAACAAAGGACTAGACACATTACACCACTTACTAATGTCCAGTGAAAGATTTCTGTTTTCAGTAAAACCTAATCTGTGATGAATAATTCATGTTAACCTGGAATTTCTACTATTTATCATGTGACTACCAGTGAATAGTCTAAACAATGCACCTGGAGCTAGGCACCGATTGCTTAGGCATTCTGTCAAAAAAGAAACAGCTTTCAAGCAATCTTGTTTTCACCTGGCTAACAGTCCCTTTATTTTTACTAGTCACATTCTGAGAATCACTTCAATGGTAATAAAAAAAACCGACAGTGGGGGAAGTTCTACCAATACACAACCTAATTTATTATTCTCACTGGGTTTTTTTTGGTTTTTATACTCATTGTTGGCGTTCGGAAAAAAAAACCCTACTTCTCTATATCTCAACTATTGCTTATTCTTTCATTTTCCTCTAATATTACTTTTCTCTTCAGCTTTATTAAGTGTGTGGATAGAATTATACAAGATGATTATGTGCCTACTTTACAAGATTTATTAGTTATGAAACAATCATCAAAAGCTGTAAGAGAATCACTTATATCTATTGGATCAATAAATCTAAGGTAAGTTATATTTTGACTGAAATATTGATTTTTGTTTTTATTTTTTTTTAAATGAGGGAGAATATCATTTATAGCTAAAGTTATAAAAGAAATTTGAAGGCTTTCAGTACGGTATATGGAACTTAATAAATTTACTCTGTTGATTTTGAATTAAAAATTGCCATAAACCTTTACAGCTCATTATTATTATTATTATTATTGATCCTTTAATTCCTAGAGGAACCTAGGACTTCTGCCACACATCTCTATTACGTTCAGTTTACCACCAACGTTTTCACGTGACCTGACGTCTACCTACATGCCTTCATTTCGTCTTCACATCACTTCCTCTCTGTTATCCTCGCATTGATGACCAACTCGCTACTTCGCATTTGGGTTCCATTCGAGCGATAACCTGACGTGTAATGTAACTCATCTAGGGGTTTGTTTTCTCAGACCATGGCTAATCCACCTTAAATTTCTTCCTACATATATGTTGCACAACTGATTCCTGCTGAGGTGGTTCGCTCATTGCCAGAGATCAATGCCGCTCACCTTTCCGGGTCATCTGATCCTAAGCGAAATACTGAACGAAGACAGCTGTTGATGAAAGTTTGTAGTGTGTTTGAAGTGCCCTTCTTGACGCAACGCCAAGTCTCTGATCCGTATAGTAAGTAGCGCTGACTTCACATTGAAGTTGAAAATGCGTATGTCAATTTTCATGCTGAGCGCTATTGATCTCCACACAGACTTGAGAGTAATGAAAGCTTGCTTTACTTTCCCGATGATCCTCGCTTTGATATCCTCGTCAGTTCTGTCCGCCTGTAGTTGAAAAGTCGGTTCGCAGTTAGGTAGGTAGGTAAAGGAAGTTGCTTCTCTCAGTTTCTTTTTACTGGGAACGTAAAGGAATTAAACAAATTGGTGAATGGGGACTAGCAGTAGAATCCAGGATAACGCGCATTTCGTCCTATCTGGATATACCTGCATTCCCTAGTGACAATATTCCCACCGAAGCTCGAACACAGTGCCCACAGTTTCAAACGCCAAAGTGTTATCCACAAGAATACTTAGGCCACGAGAGCCATTTCTTGTGCAACAAGTCATATTAGTTATTTAAATCTGTTTTAGATTTTCCCGTCAATTGATTGGACCGAAGTGCTCGGTCTCAATTCGACATGTCGACCTCGTTGGGAACATCATCACCCACTGAGGAATGCAGGTACATGCAGTTGACGAGTCCCAAATAGGACAAAATGCACGTTATCCTGGATTCCACTGCTAGTTACCATCCACCAATTAACTTCTTATTACATGTCCAGACACTGTCGAAGCTTAAGCAGAAGAAGCTGACTTGTCAACCCCAAACCGAGCACTTCGATGGGAATATCTTAAAATGAATTAAATAGTCGGCTATCTAGTCGCAATTTTCTGGTTTTCAGTCTTTTTATAAAAAAATATTATACTGTCATTTTTTCACTTTTGTTATTGTTTATAGTAGTCATTTATTTTTAAAATCTCTTATTCTACTCTCCATCTCTCTCTCTCTCTCCGCCTCTCCCCGCCCCTGTGTTTGTCTTTCTCCTCTGCTTTTAATTCATTTTTCAATTCTGCAATAAAAAAGAACAATTAATTTGGGTGAACAAAGTGAACATTTAAACAAACGATTTCATTATTTTGAATCAGTTAATATGATTATATTTTTTATATCACTTGAAGATGTTTATCGATTTACTACAATTGAGGAGAAGAAAGTGAGTTTATTTCTCAAATTCTGTCTTTATCTTTATATATATATATATATGTATATAAGTCATATTGTGGTGAGTGCTAATGATAAGATCTGTTAGTCGTATATGTATACAAATAGATGTTCATCGGCATAAAGTATGTCGAATGGCAGGAAGATATACATTTGATTTCAGAGAAGGCTAATGATACGACCTTGTGCGGATATCTGGGAAACGTTACACGAACACAAAGAAACACAGTATGAAGTCTAAAAATGGCACAACACGGAAGATTCATGCAAATGGTGTGTTGAAGATAAGGTATACATTATTTTGGTTATATTGAAGTACCAGTAGCTTTAACACTCTGGTATGTGGAAATACGGATTAAACATAAAAAAATCTGTATTGCTTTGTAGGGATTTATTGATTGGTTACAGGATTTTATTATGAGCTGACATTGGTTAGAGAACCTGGGAGTACTGGACAGCTGTTTCGTCAGCCTAGTTTCGGACTCTTCAGCAGTACGCACCTACCACCACGGTTCAAACCCAGGGCCTTCTGGTTACAAGGCTAACGAGCTCATAATCCGTTAAGCCACTGGAACCCGATCCAATGGTCCTTGAATTCTAACATCTGCCAATTCACGACATAGCGCGACCGCTAGCCAATGTCTTTGGCGAGTATGTGTCCTCACACCCGACCTGCTGCACCCTACTGGTCACGACTCCCGCTGGAACCCCAGGTAACTACCTACCTGAATAGGGCCAGTCGCCAGTGAGCATTTCATTGATATTTGAGCATTGGTTCGTAGGGATTTGTTTGATTGGTTACAGGATTTCATCATGACCTGACATTGGTTAGAGAACCTTTGGAAAACCTGGTAGTACTGGACAGCTGTTTCGTCAGCCTAGTTTTGGACTATTCATCAGTACGCACCCACCGGGAGTCGGACTTAGGAACTTCTCATGACAAGGCGAGCTCCTAGACCATTAAGCTATTGGGAACCAATCCAGTGGCCAGCCGATGAATTCTAACTCCTGACGATTCATGCATTCGAATGTCGTCTGAACGTAGGACAACCGATTGCTCCATTCTACTCTAGAGCTAACAAAACGTTGCTGAGGCACGCGTTATCGTGAATGTTCCAAGATCAGTGAAAAAACTACTGTTCTTCAAGTTTTCAGTGGTTCAGCTGAACAATGATAGCACCAATACTTTCAAACTTTAACAGACAGAAGACCAGTAGTTCATCGAAGAGTCTCTTTACAGCAGATTCATTTTCATAGCTGTACAATCGCAAATATATGCATGGTTGTTTTGTATATGTGTGTATATTAAATTTGTCAAATGAAAATACAATTAGTAAGTTCAGATGAATCGGACACAGATATAAGAGGGTAGTAACAAAAGTGATGAGTTGTCATAAACGATTGTTAAAGAAGAGTTACGTAATAATGCGAATAGTTTGATGCAAGAGTTAGGCTCAGGGTGTACATGGAAACAAAATAACATACGGAATTATGCAAGGGTGTTAAATAGTTAGGAAAATAAGCAAACAAACAAAAGTTAAGTCAAATCAACTGAGTTGTTACCATGAGAGTGGAAGTGGTTGAATAATTTTCTTTTGTATGCATAGTTCTGGTTCTTCCAACCGAATGGCTAGGCCTTGTGCAATGCAAAGTAGATGGAAACGTATTGTCTTTGGCAGGTTGTTCTTCAGTTCGTAGATTACTTTGAACGAGGTGTTAGTTGAGATGGAATGACCAGCGTTGACGAGATGTTCGATTATTGCGCTCATCATACGGTCCCTACTTTCTTCTTGCAGCCACACTGGATAGTGTTCTTTGACCCTTTTTGACAAAATGTGCGTCGGACGACCAATGTATATGGCTCCACAGCAACAGGTTAACTGATATATACACATAGAAGTGTTACTACCCTCTTATATTAACATCCAATCCATCTAAACTTACTAATTGTATTTTCGTTTGACAAATTTAATATACACACATATACAAAACAACCATACATATATTTGCGATTGTACGGCTATGAAAATGAATCCGCCGAAAAGAGACTCTTCGATGAACTACTGGTCTTCTGTCTATTGATGTTCGAATGGGAATTTTTCATGAACATTCAAACTTACCTCAACAGTACATTACAGACCATATAAGTTTCTAAGTACAAAACAAATACTGTAAGACAAAATTAGTTAACCAAAAAGTATCTCAGAATCGAGAAGAATAATTTCTTCCCCCCCCTCCTCCAACAAGACGGGATCAAAAGCTCTGGCCACCGCAATAATCATACACCAGGGCCTCCTTCAGACAGCCCTGGATGAGAATCACCTTGATTCATTCAGACAAACTTATATCGTTAAACAACCCACTGTAAATGTACACACAATCACAAAGAGAAGTATTACAATTAAAGAATAAACAAGAACAAAGTCAAGTAGTTAAGGTCAAACCCAGCATGTGATATGCAAATGTCAAACTGATGACAAACAGTCTACGAGAGAAAAGGATAATAATTAAAAAGGTAGTTGAAACGTCTAAATCAGCATAAATACTATAAGTAGATCATTCAAGAGGAATTTTTCAAACCATATGTCCACTACAGACGTAAAGAACTCGTCGTCTGTATATCTTCTGAAAGTATCCTGAGTGACCAGTGGTCTGACCAAGCAAAGTAATTTAAGCTTTGACACAGAACAATCAACCAACAGAGCATTACAATGAGCTATTTTGAATAAGTTTGTATACATTTCCTTTCAGCTATTAATATAATAATGCTAATAATAGTAATAATAATTAATTTCAGATCACAGATCATCAAACATTTAAACTATTTGGAGATATTGTCAATTCGCCAGATCTAGCCAGGAAGGAGATAATTGTCTTTTTGAATAAAGTCGATGTTATCAAGTCAGTCGTTTCACAGACAAATAACAATAATAACAACAATAATAATAGTAATAATTCGAAGAATATTGACAGCGATGTAATGCCAATCGATAAAGATGGCGAAAATCGTAATGATTCAACAAGTAAGTTGCCTAGTAATTTCTGTCAGTGCATGCTGTCTTAATAATAACAGTGACCTAATTTCAGTAGTAATTAGGAACTTCAGTTTTGTTGGACTTTCTAAAGTCAGGGTGTAACAACAAAAGACAAGTGCTGGCAACAGATCGTTTTAATACGAAAATCAACACGTATTTATATAAATTTCACATACATTAATATAGCTTAGTTAAGTAGACAAACGCAGTCTTCTGATTGGTTGTTTTCGAGTTCCTCGGAAAGTGGAGCCATCTGTCTGCGAATCATATTTGCCCACGTTTAAGTCTGCTGTGATTCGTTGTTGGATCAGCCTTGTTCATATTTTCTCAAGGCCAATATTAGTGACCTAGACATTGACGTAGATTAATGTCGACCAATTGGCTAGCAGCCTGCTCTCACCACAAGGGTTCTTTTGTTCTCTGATTAGAGAACAGACAAATATACAGCTACATAGACGAATATACGACAATATACAGAATCTAAGGAGCATGTTTAAAGATATAAACTACAACTTGTTTACTGAAAAAGTTCTGGATGACACAATCACAAACAATAACATGTTATCTCAAATTCTGTCCTGATGTTTGTTGTTCAAAGAAGATACTGTTCTAAGAATTTCATCGCGTCTCCTCATCTCAGCTCAAAAAGCTTCGCCGAGGAAACGAAAGGTCACGAAGGGCACTTCGAACAAACTACACACCTTCATCAACCGCCGTCTTCGCTTAATACTCAGGATCAGATGGCCAGCCAGAAAATATCAGCAACAGGGAGGGATCTCTAGGAGCGAATCAACTCAGTAGGAACCAATTGTACAACAAATATGCAGGAAGAAATGGAGTTGGATAAGCCATACTGTGAGAAGAAAAACCATCATGTGAGTGATGTCACATGTCAGGCCATCTCTCGAGTGGAACCCGAATGATGACTGGCGAGTTGCTCATCAGTGCGAGGGTACATGGAGTAGGTGATGTGGAGAGGAGATGAAAGCATGTGGGCAGAGGTGGAGCCAGGTGAAAATGTTGTCAGAGAACCGAACGCAATGGAGACGTGTGGCTGAAACCCTTAATGTTGTCCAGCAAATGTTATAATTTCGAATGCCACAAGTGTGAATTACGACTACTTCTCTTAATTAATTACAAATGACAACCTCAAGTGTCTCCATTCTTTGAAACCTCCCGTGTTCTTTGATCCAAATAGGGGGCCTGCTATGAGTGGACATTGTATGTTATCTTATAACTGATATTTTCAATGAATCATTTTCCACTAACAGTGTGCGTACTTTATCGGAAGACATTAAAGTTCTTTCTGTGTCTGAATTGTCAAGCAAATCAAGCGTTAAGCTTATACTTACTGCTATCACCTCACCATTTTAAAAATAATGGAGAAACTGCTTTTACTTCACCACAAAGGATTTGAATGACCCTAAACAATTAGCTTATAAACAAAGTAGTTGTACTTTAGACGCCACTGTTGATTATATCATAATATTGTCTCTAATATAGACAGAGGTGCTAAATATACTCGATGAGTCTTCCTTGATTATACATCTGCCTTTGATGGGAAGCAGCACACTGTATATAACGGGAAGTCCGTTACCGCTTCACTTACTCTAGTTGATGCTCCTCAAAGGGATGTTCTTTTTCTTTTTCTGTTTTCTTTCTTCTTACATGACTCACTCCATTGTGATGAGGCCAATCTTGTTAAAGTTAATTATGGTCTGAATGTTTCCATACCAGTTACTTCTCAGTCAGACTGCTCAAAAATGAACGACTTTTTATTAGAAAAAATCAGACAGAGCTCCTTATGAAATGTTCTTAGGTTAAATCCTTCATAATCTCAGATCGTTTACTTCACTTTCAGATGGTAGCACGACTTATATTAATTAGCTTGTTTGCATGATTCTCCTGTCATAGGTGACAATGAAGATGAAACTAGGTTGAATGTTAAATGCCTTCGACTGTACATTTCTTCTGGTGTTTACTGGTCTTTCCACATCATCATAGTGTCTAGAAAGCTATCTCATTTAACGTTCTAGTTAAAGAACTTAAGACTATCTGGTATCAATCAGTCTCTACCTTCTAAGTTTATTGAGTCTTGTATTCCACCTATTTTCTTTATACATTTGCTTAAAAGGCTGTTTTAGCAGCATCCACCTAAGGAAAACTCTGTAAGAATTACATTACAGCCAATAAATTGAAATTATTCGCCACACAAAATATAAACTGTGCATAAATTTCAGGAATTCGTGTTAGTTACTTTTTGGCGTTTTGCATTTTTCAGAAAACACATTTCAATCGTTACTCTCTCTCTCTGTCTCTGTGTTACAATAACTACAAAATGGTACCTAACATTTTCTCCACTGTAAACGTTGACAAATCAACCGCCTTTTTTCTTGTTTAAGTAGACATTATGAATTATTTACATCTTTTTGTTCGATCGTGCTTACTCCACTGGAACATGTAGTGAATAATTAATAACAGGATTATTCTCCTCCCGTCAACGCACACCAAGGTATAGTTGTCATTGTTCTAATGATAAGTGGTAAGGTGAACTTATCGGGGTATTTGTCTGTTTTTGTATGTCTATAAGTCCTCATTTTGCTTTACATTTGCATGCTCAAACACACATAAATCAAGTGTATTCATAGACAAATTTAATTATTGGCAAGCAAAAAGCTTACACGACCCATCATCGTCAAATGAGTCTGTTTTCATTGAATATACGACTTACGAGTGCAAATAAGTAACGTTTTTCCAATATTTTGAGATTTTTTCTATCAATTATTTATGAACTATCGATAACTAACACTAACTAGTTTAACTGAAACCATAATGACTTCTTTAGTATAACTTTGAAAAGTGAATAAAATTTATTTGGCTGGAGGATTTCATCATGAACTGACATCAGTTACAGAATCAATGGAAAACCTACAGACAGTACTTTTTAGCTAGCTATTCCGTCCTAGCTTGAGACTTTTCATTGATACTCACCCCCATAGGGTTTCGAAACCTAAACATTCTGATTACAAGGCTAGTGAGCTCGTAGACCATTAAACCACTGGGACTCCATCCAGAGACTAGCTCATGAATTCCAACTTCTGCAAATTCATGACTTAGCGTAACCACTTTGCAATGTCTTCTTCTATGAGTTACTGCCTCACCTTCAACCTGCTGTAGCCTGTTGGTCACGTCTTCCTAATAGAAGCCCAGGTTAACTGCCTGAATGGGGCCAGTTGCTTATGAGAATCAGATCGATTTTGTATTATGTAGAGATTTTATCTGATTTGTTCCAGGTTTTCACCATGCACTATCATCAGTTAGAGATCCGTTGGAACTATTGGATCGCGTCCAAGCGTCTAAATGATCTACAAGCTAGCCTCGTCCTAAGTTTGAGCCCTGGTGGGTACGTACTGATGGAGAGTTTCAAACTAGTGTGAAACGGTTATCCGATACTTCCAGTTTTTTTCAGTGATTGTCTAACTGATGACAGCTCATGATGAAATCTCTCAACCAATCAAACAAAAATCCCTACAAAGCTAATACTTGGAAATAAAATTTATCTCGTTTGATGTGTGCTACTATCCTTACGTAATTAGTAGTATACTGAAATGATAAGAGATTAAATTGAGGAAATGGGACTAATAGTAATTTTAGCTTATTTAAACTTACAGCCCATTCGGATACATAAAGCTATATTTCCAATAGTCCCTAGCTATTGACTGAAAGCATCCTAGGGTATCAAACCAGGCAATAAAAATCTCCCCGAGTGGCTCACTCTGTGTACCTCGGGCTTCACACATCCATGCCGTATTTAGGCACAACACAACCTTGAGTCAGCTGATACTGGTGGTGGATACAGATGGTGGCTGCGCATGAGTGACACGTGTCGGTTCATCTTCAGAACCTTTTAGACTGACTTATCCTCCTTAACTAACACTCTGCGCCTAAACTAAATATTAATTACCATACTATGTAACTTAAAATTGTTGACAGAAGCAAACATCAGTGCTTCCACTATCTATAGCCACTCTACACAATCATAAAGGAGGACATAACCGCACTGAACAGCTCTAAAAACTTCCCCTGATCGATCACCGGATATCATTTCAGTTCCAGAGATTAAGTAAGTTGGTAAATACCACACGAGCCCTCTGTATCTGGTTTGAGATTTCGTCAGCAATCGTTGCATTAAATCTCATGCAACTTCCTAGACAACTTAAGTAGTCATCACCCTCAATCACTCCAATCTCTATGTTTAACCTAAGAGTTGGTGTAGTCCAGTTCTCTAAAATAATTTTACATTTCATAGGAGCGAAACGTACGCCAGGCATTAGAAGATTCCAGCTCAAGTTATTCATAAGACTCTTCATTACATCAACATCTTCCCCATAGAGGACGATATCGTTCGCATACTCTAAGTCTGCAAGACTGTCCCCTGGTGACATGTCAGTCCCTTAGTCGTTCTGTATGGAGACCAGTAGTAATATATCTGAATGAAAAATAATACTTTCACTGATCGAAATCTTAGATTTTCTTAGAGAATTGTTGTGAGCTAGAAGGTACCAGATATTCGTTTCGTCCTTGTGTGCAACTTTTCATCCATGAGCACCTTTGACCCTGTCAGGGGTCAAACCGACGATATTTAGCTTATGACACGACCGACTAAATAATATACGAGCTCATCTTGGGACTTGAAAGTCCAAGGTTCAGTTGCAAATGGGTGGAATCATGTGTAGATACTACTGATTAGTTCCGAACTTAAACGAAACAGCTCTCCAGTACTCCATGGATTTCAGTAATTCTCCTGCTGAAATCAGTTCGTGACTAGTCACAACACTTTGCTACTTAGTAAATATTAGTAGTATTTACCAGTTAAAAGTTGTTATTACTGAAACATGTGTTGCAATTCGACAGTATTTGGGGCTTGTCAACTGGAGTGATTAATAATTTTCCCACTAGAACTTGAACTTTTCAGTCATCCTTTCAAACGTCAAAGAGTTATCTACTCAGACGCTGAACGACAACAGCCATCAGCTGTGCAACCAGTACAGGGTTTTGTTAATTTTTAGAATGTTTTAGACCAAAATCCTAGGTTACTTTCTGTTGCTTTGTTACTCACCGGAAGTATACGTATTCCTTGCTAAAGAGTCTCATATAGGACGAAATAAATAACCTGGTTTCCACTATTACTCACCTCCAGCTAAATTATATCAAAACTTTGAGAACTATCCAAGCCTCCGTACTAAGAGCCAATGTGTCAGCGGTAATTGAGAATTTCGCTTTAATATACTCAATCAAGGGAAATTTAAAAGATTGACCTAAAAGCAAACGGTAACTATTTTTTATAAATTACTTAAAATAATCCAAGTGTGATTAAGGAGAACTCAAAACAAAATTTTTCTAAAGGTTTAGCTGTGTAAGCCACAGCTTCTGCAGCAGAATTATTCGGATTTTATTAGTCATTAAAAATATATAGACAGAAATTACATAGATTGAAGTCAGTTCATTTGAAGGTCACTTGCCGAAAGACAATTGTACCAATAGAAATATGTGAGCAGTCATTAAATATTTGTAATGACTAATGTCAAGTTGTCATTGAGCATATTTATCTGTATGACTGTATATGTTAGTTATGTGGGAAACACGTCAGAACACGATAATATATCATAGTGGCCATAATATGGGATTGAATTTTTTTCCGTCATCTGTTCTGCCGATTCTACTTCATTAGTAAACTCAATATGTTCTGAGACTAAGTTAATTTCTGTTAAAAAGTCTTCTTTTTCAGCTTTCTTTATGACAATAAATGTGTCATCTACGTATCTGTACCATATTCTAGGATGACAGCTAAGACTTGTCAATGCTTTCATTTCTAAGGCTTTCATATATAAGTTTGCTACAATTGGAGATGCTGGTGAACCCATTGCAACTCCATTTGTTTAGTGCATGTCAAAGATATAGTTCCCAAAATGTCACAAAGTAATTGTGTCTACAAGATAAAGTGTTCAGAATGTGAGGCATGCTATATAGGGGAGAGCAGTAGGCAAGTGAAAGTCAGAGTGAATGAACCTAGACTTTGCACGAAACGTCCACCTAGAAATGAAGTAGAATTAAAAAGTCTAGAAAAAAGATCGGCTATAGCAATACATGCGATAGACAGCGGACATAAGATTGATTTTGACAATGTCGAAATTCTTGGAAGAAGATTTCATTCACATAAAGAAAGATTGACTTCAGAAGCCTTGCACATTTTAACCACATTGAATGCAGTGAATAGGAAAGAAGGTATAGCCTTATCACCTATATGGCAAACTCTTATGAAGCAAGACAAATGAAAAAAACAACAAACACTCTATGAGCCTCCATGACCTTTAAAACATGTAGTGACACGTTTATCACATATGAATTCACATATTTTCCATATGACAAATAACATACATACACACACACGCATACAAATCTAATCTTAACAAATCAACTATAGAAGAGTAAACACAACAACAATTTGACATTAACTTTCTATAGTTTGGTTTGTAAGGATTAGTTATGTTTTACGAGTTGATCACGGATTGATATCAGTTAGAGAACCATTGAAAACCAGGGAGTACTGGACAGCTGCTGTTTCATCCTAGTTTGGGAATCATCGGCAGTACGCACCCACTGGGTTTCGAACCCAGAACCTTCCGGTTACAAGGCAAGCTCGTATACCATTCAGCCACTGGGACCCGATTCAATGGCTCGTGAATTCTAACTTCTACCAATTCGTGATTTAGCGCGACCCCAACCATTGTCGTTGGTGGGACATCCATCCACACACGTGATATCTAATTGGACCTCACTGGTCACGACTTCTCACTAGAACTCAGGAAACTCCAACCTGTAGCAAGTCACTAGCGAGCATCAGCGCTAAATCACGAATTGGTAGAAGTTAGAATTCACGGGCCATTGAATCGGGTCCCAGTGGCTGAATGGTATACGAGCTTGCCTTGTAACCGGAAGGTTCTGGGTTCGAAACCCAGTGGGTGCGTACTGCCGATGATTCCCAAACTAGGATGAAACAGCAGCTGTCCAGTACTCCCTGGTTTTCAATGGTTCTCTAACTGATATCAATCCGTGATCAACTCGTAAAATTTGACATTAGTCATTACAAATATATGTGAGGACAGCTTACATACTTCTATTGGTAAAAAAATGTTCATGGAGAAATGACCTTCAAATAAACTGACTTCATTTTATGTAAAAATTTTTGACGATATATTATGATGATTAATTATAATCCGAATAAATCTGCTGAAGAAGCTGTGGCTTACACGGCGAAACGTTCAGAAAAGAGATCTTGTTTTGATTTTCTTAACACACTGGGATTAATTTAAATAATTTATAATGAATAGTTGTTTTTGTGTCATTTTGGGAACCATATATATTTGACATTCACCAAAGCTTTCGCTATAGAACTAGAGGGCTCGAAATACACTTTAATATAATATATGAAGCAAGTTTGAAGTTGTTCAGCTGTCTCCTTTTGATATGGAATGGCTATCGTCAACAGCCAAGATTTTCAGTTTTCTTTCCGCTTTCGCCATTTCTGTTGATAATATTATCTAGTAGCTTTTCCGGATAAACATTTCCAATAAAAATTTCTCTTTTATTCGGAGATCTTGTTCTCCGTATAATCGTTTTTGATCATAATGCTTCTAGATTTATTCATAAGATCGAAAGTTACAGAGACTTTCCTTTTTATTGGATGTTCAGATTGGAAATTCAAATATTTGGTTGAATGTGTCAGCTTCTTGCATATATTGGTAACTAACTATTCATGTTTTGCAAAATAAAACAGCTGCTGAATTTTTAAACCAAACATGCATTTTCTAATTTAATTCAATTTTAGATTTTCCCGTCGATTCATTGGACCAAAGGGCTCGGTCTCAGTTTGACATGTCGGCTTCTTGTGCAGATGCTTCGACGATGGCTGAGCATGTAATTAGAAGTTGATTGGTGGACGGTAACTAGCAGTGGAATCCAGGATGCGCATTTCAGCCTATTTGGGACTCGTAACTGGATGTGCCTTCACTTCGGTCCAATCAATCGACGAAAAAATCTAAAATTGAATCAAATAATCAACATAACCCTATGCACATGAGATGGCTCTCGTGGCCCAAGGATTCTTGTGGATAACGCTTTGTCGTTTGAAACTGTGGGGAACTGTGTTCGATCTGCGGTGGGAATATCATCAGTCACTATGGAATGTTGGTACATCCAGTGACGAGTCCCACTGGATTCCACTGCTAGTCACCATCCACCAATTCAATTCTAAATACATATTTTAAACTTCATTCTTATATATCTTTGAAATAAATTAACCCAATTGATCAGGTTCATAAATCAATTCAATCTTGTCCATTTTCTCATTCTTTTCTAGATTGGACAGTGTTCATTGAAGAGATGAAATCCTGCCTAACTGAATTACGTAATAATGCTAAAATCAGAGTTTCATCCCATTTATATTTTCATGTAACCTGTGCTCTGGATATTGATGAGATGAAATGGATCACAAAAGATTGTTTGAGAACTATTTTTGAGTTAAATCGTAGACGTCATTTAATTTTTTGAAATCAAATTCCTTTGTTTGTTTGTTTGTTTATTCATTTGTATTTGGCCTTAGTTTTATTTTATTTTTCCTTGGATATATACATATATTGAACAAATACAAGCAGAATTTATTTATTTAAAATTTACGCTACTTTTGCGCCACTGGTTAACACATGCCTGTTGCAAACATCTCTGAATATGGGAACTCATTATTATCTGTGTGTGTGTGTGAGAGAGAAGAGGTGTTCAGTGATAGCATTCTCAAGGTGCATGAACAATCATGCATGTGTAGAGTAAATTGTCATAGCAATGAAAGGAATGTTTCTTAAAATGTGTCATTAAAATTGAAAGTTTTAGGTAAAGATTCTGTAATACTTGACGCGTCAGTGAGTTAGGAACTGAAATAAAGTTTTAAAAAATAAATCGTTCTGGATAACCACTCTCTGCGAGGATTCTCCTGAGGTTGTCCAGTTCGTCTTCTGTGGTATCGTGGGTGCGAATTCTGTGGACTCTGTAGCTGAGTGAATGGATCATGTTTCGTCTGATGTATAGAGGCACTCAACTGTGAAAGTTAGTAAGCTGTCCGTTCCACGTCGACTTTCTTTAGATAGATCTTTTCAGTGTTCCATCCTCCTCTCGTCTTGTTAGTTGAACGTCAAGAAAGGATATTTCTGGATTTAAACTCCTTTCCTAACGTGGACTGAATCGCGGTGTGTCAGTTATTAAAGGAGTTTAAGATGTCGTCTAGATTTTCTTCATCGTTCACGATAAAGAAAGTGTCATCAATGTATCTCTTGTAGAATTCGAAGGCACCGATCATTTTCTTCAGGCATGTGTTTTCAGGTTTCATTATAAAGAAATCTGCAAGCAATGGGCCTAATGATGATTCTGTAGCTATGCCATCCTTTTGGCGACATGTTTCGACATATTTCAACATACAAGGTACACCTCAGTAGGAGTTCTTTAAGACGCTTGGTGAGTATAACGATATTTATTCCCTTTGAGTGAATAAGTTCACATAGGTAGCATATTCTTTCAGTCGGTGGGACATTTGTGAACAATGACGTGACATCTAATGATATCATGATCTTGTTGGACACGTTGAGGTTTTCAACTGAATCTATAAAGTACAATGAGTCTCAAAATGTGTGGCAGGAAACTTGTATTCTGATTGGTTCTAGTATGTCTGCTAGCCATTTGGCTGTATAGTGATAAGGCGAATTGGTCATGTCGAAGATCAGTCGAAGAGGAGTACTCTTCTTGTGTACTTTTGAGAGTCCGTGAAGTCGTGGTATATCTGAGCCAGATGGTCTTAGGGATTTGAACGTTTCGTCGCTGATGAAATATTCAGTCATTAGCTTACGGAGGGTGTCCGTAAGCTTTTGTTCTGTCTGTTTAGTCATATTTTTCTCGTTGACCGGTTTATTTAAATTTGCATTCGTCGGGTAGTATAGTCAGTATTTTACTGATATATTCCTTGGGATTCATGATTATTATTCCTCAGCCTTTATCTGGACGCAATACTGTGCATCGGTGGCACAGTGGTTAGGACTCTCGCCGACCATGCACATGGTCCGAGGTTCGAGTCCACGCCGACGCACACCTGATATCTATGGTCGGCCTGCGAAATTTGGGCTACCGATATCCATGCTGAAAATTCCATACTTGTATCAAAAATACGGTGTGGTATCAAGCTGTAATCAAAAAAAATCTCTTCGTTTTGTGCAAGTTCTTTCACCTCCTTATAATGGCTCTTCGTCAAAATGGACCTTCCGTTGGGTTTGGTATTGATAAACTTGTGACAACAGTCGAGGACTGATGCTTTGAGTTATTGTAGGTTTTCATCTGATGTAGGTGTGAGATCGTAAGTTTGGTTTATCGGATTTTCGAACTGAACCTGTCATTGTATCTTGTCAATACTTGGTGGTTTTACGCAGAATTTTGGACCTAGAGACAGTGCCTCTAGTTGAATAGTAGACAGTGTGATGTTTCAGAGATTGAATACGTACTTTTCTGGATTGTTTGGGAACAGAGATTTAGTATTAATTGTAGGCTTTAGGCTTTTGAGTAGATCTGCTTTAGTCTTGTTGCATTCTTTCTGAGTGACTTGTTGTACATATTCTTCGAAAGAATGGCATAGTTCTAGATCTGTCTTCGACTACATGAGCTCTTGAGCAGACATTTCGCTCCAGCTCGAGGACACGTGACTGAATGGAATCGATGTTGTTTCGTGTGTTTCGTCTGAGGGTTCTGGTATTCGGTTGGATGTGGTTGCGTCTGAGGGACTTCCGATGCATCTTAAGATACTCATGTCGATCTATACAATCTCTTAGGACATCAATCTTTGTCTTCGCTACCACAAGCTTGACTGAGTAAGGCAGGAAACTATCTAGCTTCTTCGCCGTAACCAGGTCCTTGAACTGTTTAAGTAGTTAAAAAATCCCCATTGAGTCATATGAAAAGGGGAAGACGTTCAGTGAAGAGTCTTTTCGGCGAATTCATTCACGTAGCTGTACAATCGCATTTATATATAATTATTCGTGTCAGTGTGTGTGTACATGAGTTTTGTCAAGTTTAGATAATTAATCAAGAGAATCCCCGTCGAGAATGGTTATAGAGAACGATTTATTGCAAAATCCATGAATCCTAGACCGTAAAATCCGCCCACGCGTGGCGCCCCGGGAAAATTAAAACAAGTAAATTGGGTGGCGTAATGTAACGCACAAGGCTTAGTGGAATTGAACTTGATTTTCTGAGAAACGGCCACAAACAGATAACAGAATAACCTTCATCAAGAAAGACCAATCAGAAGACGTTGCTTCTCTGCTAACAATAACGCTAATAATTAATATTGCACATAAAAATCAATAGATACCTCTTGATTTTATCGATAAACAATATGTTGCCTGGCACTTGTCTTCTGTTGTTAGACAGACAGATAACGATGCAGGTATACTGAAGGAACAGAAACGAGAGTATATCTTAGATTTTCTGAACACATAGACAGAATGCTTCTCAGACGATTTCAGCGATTTCCAAATTCCCGTTTATGCATCTCGGAATAATAACAGACTGAGCGAAGAAATATGCACTCCTTTACAATTAATTCCTCATCATCGACTCGCTCTACACGAATACATAGCTTTTACATCGAAATTTTTACCAGTCAAGTTGTGTTATTTTAGTTGATCAGTTTTAGGGATTGGAGGGTAAAATTAAGAGGATAACGGTCATCAAAACAATTAACTAACAAATGTTGGTGACAAAATATGCAAGTTTCGAAGGAAGGAGGGGTGGAAATTACTCATGGAATTCAAGATAAGTTGATTCTTAAGCGTTAGCGATAAGTTATTACGTAGTCAAGAAATCTGTAAAATAGCGAAGATGACTAAGAAGAATAGGATGACTCAAAAGACCTACGTTAAATGCAAACAACTTAAAAGAATTAGCTAGAATTGTAGAATGTGCACAGTCAGAAGATGGTTACAAGTGGAGGTGAAAAGTCATTTTTGAAAGCCTAATACATATTATGTAGTTGGTCATGGCAAAGAAAGGGGCTGTACAAATTTCTTATGAAGGCAAACAAAAAATTGGCTTTCTCACATTGAATTCCGATTGCCTATGTTGTATTTAAAAGTTGTACATGTAGACCATGCAGGTATCTGAAGACTATCAGTGTCTGAAGTATAGTGCAAGGCTCAGTGAAGCGAATACGTCTATGGATTGTATCCATGATTGGGTTGAAACAGCCCCAAGGCTTACCGAAAATCGTTACATCATTCTCGAGTAGGTCCAAACACAAGGATACTTAAGTGTCATGCTCTCAATCACAGTGACGTTTTGAATTCGTGTGTTACTGAGTCGACAAAGACTATTGCAGAGAGATTCTATACCGTACAAGAACTTCCGGACGATTTGAAGCACCCATTCTAGCAGTATGTGAACGATGTTTTTAACAGAAGGAAAGGTAAAGAAACGAACCCAGCTTATTCTAAGCCTAGAAAATCAGACGCCAGAAGCACGTTTTCCGCCCAATCCAGAAGGATATGTCCACAATTTTTCTAGTCTGATCATTCACATGATAGATCTGGAAGTCTTGTTTCTTCGTCTTAAATATTGTGGTAGTAATATAAATGTCAATAAAATGGACATACAAGTTCAATTTGAAAATCATTATGTTCAGATTGGAGACTTAATGATCTTATTAGTTGAGGAGGTTAACAGATCTAAGGCGACTCTAATCAACTGTTGTTATAAATACATTGATAGTAGAGGCAATTCAAAAGGTATTTTAATCAAAAGACATCAACAGTTCTTAAAGAAATTGAAAGCAAATGAGAATAAATTGATCTCCAGACCTGACAAATGCTCGGGAGCCGTTATCATGGATAAATCTGATTATCTTAGCTAACTGACGACTTTATTAAGTGATGCCTATAAATTCCACAAACTAACGACCAATAAAGATATAACGGAGTGGATTGAAAAACACTTGACAGAGTCTTTAAAAAAGTTGAAATAACAAGGTCATATTTCACCTGCCTTGTATGAAACAATAAAACCTATAGGCATGGTGATACCCAGGTTGTACGGCTTACTAAAGACTCATAAAAACGACTTGCCACTTAGATCAGTCTTCAATATGTCTAGGTCACAACACCATTCAACTGTGAAACGGCTAGTGGAACTTTTACAGCCGTTGCATAATAAATTTGTGTAAAATAGCGTAAGACAGTTCTGAGTTTGTAGAAATAATCAAGGAATCAAATGTGAACGACAAATACATGGTATCATTGAATGCATCTTCCTTATTCACCGATGCGCCTTTGATGGAAACAATTGATTACATAAGTAATGAACTGATAAACGAGGTATAGTGACTGGAATCCCGTGTCTTCCCCAAAGGAACTTCTTTTAAGGTGTACAATGATTAGTTCAGGAAATAAAGAAAGACTTTCGTGTTTCGCCTCTTCCATGTGTATTTACCAGTTTAACTACCCGTGCGGAGCTAGTTACATAGGGCGTACGATCAGGCAATTTCATCGTCGAATTTCTGGACACCTCCCATCTTGGTTTGACAAAAGTCCGAATAAAGGTATACACAGCTTAATACTAGCTCACCTCGTCAATACTGGACACCAAATTGACTCTGACAAGGTTTTTACAGTTATTTATCGTATATCACCCAACCTCTCGTATGGTCTACGAGTATGACTTTTACATACAACAAAGGCAATCGGAATTCATCTGAACAAGCGAACTCTGTGTTCGTGTTCAAAAGAAATTTGTACAGCCTCTTTCTTTGCCATGACCCCCTATATAATATGCATTAAGTTTCTTTAAAAACGACTTCCCCCTTGTAACCATATTTCTACTTTGTTAACTTTTACAATTTTTACAATTCTAACTAATTCTATCAACTTGTTTGTAATTTGGCGTATTTCTTTTGAGTCATCCTATTCTTCCTATTCCATTCAAAGGAGATGATCTACAGGAAGTAGTCAAACTAAGACTCGATAAAGCTATCAAGAGAACTTATTATGCTGCAAAACTTGTTTTTCTTAGCACCACTAAGTGAGTGCTTCAACAATCTTGGAAAGACCAGTCTCCAATCCCTGACACTTCAAACTCACTATATCAATTTGAGTGTGTTTGTGGTAGGAAGCAAATACCTAGGTCGTACAGAAAGACGATTATCCACTCGTATGACGAAGCATTTGCCAAAATAGTTGAAAACAGCTGAATGCAAAGTGTCAAAAACCTCAATAACGAATTATCTGGTGGACTACGGACATGATATCGACGCTGTCAAGTCACTCACTATTGTCAGCAGCCAAAGAAACAGGAAGATAATTGCAATTGCAGAAGCTTGTGCAATTCGATTTTATAAACCAGGTCTCTGTGTGCAAAAGAAGATGGTCGTCACTTTGAATCTACGATGATAATACATTTTACTTATTATTCTACCTCTTATTATTGTTATTCTTGATTCATTTAAAACAATGCTTTATCAGTAGGATTATCTTAACTCACTTCAACACTATTAAAATTGTTATTATAACTATTACTATTGATATTAGTCTGTTTGCAATTCTTGTTATATTCCCTAATGACTAATTGTTAATCTAAGTGATGTAATTGAAGCGTAATGCAATTTATCTTAATCTCGATCTTTCATACTCCCTCTCCCCTTATCTATTTGAACATGACCTGGAAAACATTGGAACCTGTCTTTCTGCATGACTAATTATTCAATGTACTTTGTGCACTTATCAGTCTTATATCTCCCAATGTAATTTCAAAAGTATATATGTACCCGTGTATGTAGAGTATTCAGCTGAGGAGTTCTACCAAAATTTGATGAATTCATTAAATCCTGCCTTATTAACCTTTTTAGCTTATTTTAAAGTCGTATCGGGAAATAAACATTTTCTATTCTTCTTAGACATCATTGCTAATTTACGAATTTCTTGACTACGTAATAACTTATCGCTAACGCTTAAGAATCAACTTATCTTGAATTTCGATGAGTAATTCTCACCCCTCCTTCCTTCGAAACTTGCATATTTTGTCACCAACATTTGTTAGTTAATTGTTTTGATGACCGTTATCCTCTTAATTTTACCCTCCAATCCCTAAAACTGATCAACTAAAATAACACAACTTGACTGGTAAAAATTTCGATGTAAAAGCTATGTATTCGTGTAGAGCGAGTCGATGATGAGGAATTAATTGTAAAGGAGTGCATATTTCTTCGCTCAGTCTGTTATTATTCCGAGATGCATAAACGGGAATTTGGAAATCGCTGAAATCGTCTGAGAAGCGTTCTGTCTATTGTAACAACAGAAGACAAGGGCCAGGCAACAGATCGTTTTATTATGAAAATCAACACGTATTTATATATATTTCACATACATTATTACAGCTTATGCAAGTAGACAAGTGCAGTCATCTGATTGGTTGTTTATCAGAAGTTAGGCAGACAAACGCAGGCTTCTGATTGGTTGTTTCGGGATTCCTCGACAAATAGAGTTCTCTATCTGCGAATCATATTTTGCCACGTTAACTTTGCTGTGATTGGTTGTTAAATCAGCCTTGTACATCTTTTCTCACAGCCTGCACTCACCACACTATGTGTTCAGAAAATCTAAGATATACTCTCGTTTCTGCTTTTTCAGTATATCTACATCGGTAACTACATGTAAATTGATAAACACAGTTGTAGCTTACAATGGGATTAGTGTACCTGTCAAATCTTTGACAGAGCTTAAGACCAAACTATTGGGGAAGAAATGGAGATGGATTGGCCATACTCTGAGGAAATCATCAAGTGACATCACTAGACAAGCCATTACTCGAGTGGAACCCGAAAGAGAAGCAGCGAGTTGGTCGTCAGTGCAAGGGTGACTTGGAGTAGGTCATGTAAGTAGCAGATGAAGGAATGTGGGCAGATTTGGAGCGGGGTGAAAAAATTGGCAGAAAACAGAAGGGAATGGAGGTGCTCAGCTGAAGCCCTATGTCCCTCTAGGAATTAAAGGATATGATAATAATAGTAATAATAATAATAACTGAGTACAACGGAATGGATCAAGCAGCAGGGATTATCCTAGAGAATGATTTCTTTAGTTGTCTCTTGGTTATCCCTACGATGTTAGAAAAATTTAGTTTTGAGATGGATAAATACGGTCTTTCTATTCATTGTTATAGCTTCCGTAATTTCATTTTCACTCTTCTTTTTATAAAACTTTTGCAGACATTTGAGGTTTTGTAGACGTGTTCTATAGTCCCCACTCCCTACTGCAGTTTCCGTCATTTAAATATATATCATTTCCGTATTGTGAAAAATGCGTTAACTAATGGTTTCTTGTATTTAATCGGACATAATGTAAATTTTACTCTATCTTCTTTGTCAGTGGATAGAACTTCACAACGCGTCAGTTGTCCTGCAATTCATAGTGATATTCAGAAGGTTAAATTTTCCATCAACTTGACATTCTATGTTAAAATTATAGCCCTCTAATGGATGTAAAATGTATGAGGTAAGTCATCACATAATGGCAAGTTGTCATCGGCCGATCTAGTGTATAGAATCACTTCGTTGATTTTACCTCTTAGCTTTTTGTTCTCTAGATTTGCTTTGAAAATATCTGCCAAAATGTGGGACCCACTAGGCTCTCTCTATCGCTACTCTATCAATCTTGTAATATAAGATGTTATTTAACTTGGATTGATTGTTATCGTTGCATATCAAATGTTGGCAAAGGAGTTTGCATCGAATGATGCATTGGCTGTGTAGTAATTTCGTAACTAATTCAGCACTACAGAGTATCCCAAACCTTCACCATATATTAAGTCATTCACAACCTATTGCTCAACAAATATGCCACAGAGAATAAAGATGGTTCGGATGCATATTGCGGAGATTATTATGCTAGAACTCCATTGGGTAACGACGAGTTGGGCATAAGTCCAAGGTTTACAGGGAGGAGATTGTAAGAATGAAGGCTTATGAATAGTTGTAAATGAACGTGAACATTGAATGTTGGTTCATTGGCCTTGGTCGTCATTGGTGGGCAACTCGAAGGCGCGAATGGTTCAATCGTGTACAAGTTGTAAGAAGACAAAAGAATACGAATAAAAGTACAGTATATACCTTGTAAAACACTTGTTTATATACTTTGTATGGATATGTATGGGTTCGAATCCGGTGGGTGCGTGCTGCTGAAGAGTCCCAAACTAGGCTGACGAAACAGCTGCCCAGTACTCCCAGGATTTCCAATGGCTCTCTAACTAATGTCAACTCATCATGAAATCCTGAAACCAATCAAATCCCTACAAACCAACACTTGAATATCAATTTTTAATTGCCAAACAATACAACTTATTGGTCCTTGTGTTTCAGAGTTAAAGTCGACAATGGTTTACAGTAATTATCGATTCGGAGTGTCTTCGAGAATAATAGGAACTTAGGGTTAAGTTCCTTGACAACAGTCGTAGAACTACCTGAAAACGATGTTAGAGAAGTGGATGAAATGCCAATGTGCTGTTGTATCCCCATGTTCCACTGACGACCTTAGCGAACAAAAAAAAAGGCGTCTAAAATATATGGCCAAAAACTAATTCACAGATGGCAAAAAAAAATCAGGTCATTCTTGAAGACAAAAAATTTGACGAAAACTTGAAAAAAGACAAACTCAGCAATATAAATTTATTTCACTTGTATTGTTTTCCAGCTGAATGAAGATATGTAGGTAACATATTGTATATTCTTGAGAGTCAGACAGTGACAGACAGAGAGAAAGATACATAGATAGATAGAGACAGACAGAATATATGACGGATCAGTTGATGTCCATCTCTATAAACACTCACACGCAGACACACACACACATACACAAAAAGAAGTCTTTCTTATGTTTTCTCTCGTCATTCTACCGGATGTGAATGGCGTATTCAACCAATGAATTCGTTTGTTGGCAGCATAGATTGTCTATAGAGATCATAATAGTAGTTGTCTGACTGTTGAGGTCGTTTTACTGCTAAAAATGAAATCAACGGAAACAACAACAAAAAAAGAAAAAAACAAACGAAAAAGCACAATAATCAGTGTGAAAATATAATGCAAAATTTAGCGAAGAAATATCATGTCCAACAGATGAAATCATCTTCATCAAGCCTGGACAAGCATACTTCTTTTTATTTTCTTTGGGTTGTTAGTTCAACATAGGGCTTTAAGCACGAGACAAGAAGTTTTCTAATTTATAACCCTTCTTCTTTATCGAGCTTAATGATGGCTCAGAGAGGTTAGGAAGTGTGTTGACCGGTGATCGACTACCAGATTATAAGAGTGGTTACCAAGTATTCCACTGCTGAATCATTCATGCACACTAAAGGCGTTTAGCACAGTTACGTCATAGAGAAAATTTCTTTATTAAAGTCTCACACTGTTATACAATAATACTAACCGATAACGTTTCAAGAACAGTGTTATTGTTCATAGTCACATCAAAGTACACAAAATTCAATATATCTCTAGTTTTGCAATTAATAGTGTTCTCTGAGCTGGCTGGTTTAGTTGCGGAGCTTTCGTCGTCTTTCTGGACGGCATCTTCAGCGAAGTATTTAGCATAAAGTTAAATGATTTAAAAATCTCCATGAATGATGATACAATTGCATCTCCTGGTGACCAACCATCTTTATATATGTATTGACCGTTTTCTACTGATTGGGATTTTAAACTTTCTGGTCACCTGATTTTTGCTTTTTATTAGTTGATATATTTCATCTATATTAACGTGTTTATTAATGGCATTTTCGTTTGAGTACCAGGCTTGGCTTCTAGGAATTCCCTGGCACATTTGGTGTTTCCTCTGTTTAAGATTTTGATATTATCCCAATCAAATTGATTTCCATAATTGTCTGTATGCATTGATACTAAAGAATTTATATCATGTCTGTTCACGGCTGACTTGTGTTCTTGGATTCCTATTCGAAGAGGACGCCCACTTTGACCGATGTAATGTTTGTTGCAGTTCATACAATTTATTTTGTAAATGGTGTTAATTTTATCTCCTTTTTCTATCGGATCTTTTGGTTTGCATAAGATCGAATTAAGCGATTCGGCTGGTTTGTGTGCTACATCTTTATCAAACGGTTTCATTATTCTAGCCGTTATTTCAGAGATATTTCTGATGTACGGTAGGATGAATTTCTTTTTGGTCTTTGGTGATGGTTCTTTGTTGGTGCTTTGATCCGACTTTAAACACTTTTTGATGACATTTTTTGGATAACCATTCTTCTTGAAGATCGTTTGTAGGTGTTTTTTCTTCCATTATTTTCAACTCTGGTGTGCTACAATGTGTTTGAACTCTTCTAAACAATGTCTGCGCACAGTTTCTTTTGTGAGTGAGTAATTGGATTATTACTACTATAGTTGAGTATTTGATCTGTGTGTGCACTGATCTTCTATATACTTGTGTTTCTAAATTTCCTGTGTTGGTTCTCCTGATTAAGACATCTAAAAATGGGATTTTGTTATCTAATTCTTCTTCTCTTGTGAATTTGGTGTCTTCAAATATGTTGTTTATTAATTTGTGGGTATATTCTAAATCATTTTTCCTAATTATTACAAATGTGTCATCAACGTAGCGTACCCAGATTTTCGGTTTAATTATAGTTAGAGCTATTAATTCTAATCTTTGCATAACGGCTTCAGCTACTAATCCTGATATGGGCGATCGCATTGGTGTTCCTTTTATTTGCTCATATATTTGAGTATTGAATTGAAAGTATGTTGTAAGGCATAATTTATGAGTTCTATCCAAGTTGAACATTGCGTTTTTATGTTTTCATCACTATAGAGTAATTGTTGCGTAGTTTGTGTTGCTAGTTTTGGACTAATTGAAGTATATAATGCTGTGACATCAAAGGACACCATTATTTCATTGTCTTCTACCTGAATGTTTTTGATGTCTCTAAAAATTGGATTGACGAATTGATAGAATGGTCGCATGATTCTGTTAGGTAATTTAACTTCCTGAAAAGTTCTTTTTAGATAGATTTTATGTTGGTTTTCCTGGAAGCGAAACGATTGTTCGTAAGGGGATGTTTGGTTTGTGTAGTTGTGGTCTACCATAGAATCGAGGTAAAATAGGTCCGTTAGATCTCATTCGCCATTGATCTCGTTCTGTAACAGGAATGATTCATCACTAATGACAGATATATGAAAAAATATTACCACTAATCATCAAATCAAGAGATAGGAAATAATGGAATCATACAAAGGAAGTCAGAAAGTTGCGTGATTACAAATTGATATGATAATGAGCAACAATAAACTGTGCTCGAAAAGACATCAGTGAATAATTACTGTATAACACTGTGAGACTTTATCAAATACATTTATTCTGTGCTGAAAAGCATTCCTCTGGTCACTGAATTTCTGGTTTCTATTCTTTATCAGTGCGTATATCTCAAGTTGGACAACAACAGAAGAATAGGTCTTATCGATGAAAGTCATTCAACACTATGCCCAAATAATCAATCGGTCATGTAAATCATCAATCAATGTACTGATTGTCTTAACTAAAAGAACACAACTGATTTGTCCATAAGTATAAAAAATAGATGAAAAATACTCATGTGGACTTCCATTATACTAATAAAGTGAAAATCAACATTGCCGCCATTAAGAGATATGAGTTAGCAAAAAAAAGTATAATAGTATATTCACTGGGTACTTCAAAAACTCTCTTTGCTCTACGTATTTAATGTGGTGGCGTTTTCCAATTTCGGAAGAAGCTAGTACCACCCAATGATGTTAAATTCTCAGGTGTTGTTGTCCAGGAATTGGATTAAGATTTTAGGTTAGTTCACAAACTAATTCCAAAGAGGGAATATATATATAATAGTAAATCTATTGGAAACTTTATTACCCTATTTAATCATATTCATCCAAATATTCGAATGACTTCCGAACTAGAATCGAACAAAAAACTCGGTTTCCTGGATATTACTTCGACTAGGAGAGATGATGGAACGATTCAGCGATCTATTTTTCGTAAACAGACATTTTTTTGATTTACAGCTTGATTCCACACTGTATTTTTGGTACAAATATGGAATTTTCAGCATGGATATCGGTAGCCCAAATTTCGCAGGTCGACCATAGATATCAGGTGTGCGTCGGCGGGTGCTCGAACCCCGGACCATATGCGTGGTCGGCGAGAGTCCTAACCACTGTGCCACATGGAGTGGACAATATCTTCATTTTACTAGTTTTGCCCCTATCCAGTATAAACGTTCCCTAGTGAAATGTTTGTTCTGAAGGGCCCAAAAAATATGCACGAGTGACACATTGATGGATGAGTTTCGACATATACATTCAGTTTTATTAACTAATGGTTATCCAGAATACTTCATCACTTGTCATATTAAGGATTGACCACATCTAGAAAAGACAGCTTCTGTACCAAAGAAAGTTATCTTTATTAACCTACCATTCAAGGGCGACCAGACTATGCAGTTGACAGCTAGCTCAAAGACTTTAGTCAGCCATCAAACTCACATTCCACGCGGCACTTCTTTTTCTCACATGCCGAACATTTTCGCTCCCTGTTCCTACGATTAAAAGACAAAATTCTGTGGACTCTACTTCAAACTGTATCTACAAGTTCACCTGCAGCTGCGGTGACACCTATATAGGTAGAACCAACAGAATGTTCCAATGTCGCGGTCGAAAAGAACATGTTCCAAAATGGCTACTGAATCATATCGAAAATCCTAACGCGATTAATCTTAGTAGAAATCCAGCTTCATCCATTGCAAAACACTTACTAATATCTGGTCACAAAATCAATATTAATGACTGTTTCACAATTATTTCACACAACTCTTATTCAAAGTTATTGAAGGTGATGGAAGCACTTTGGATTAAGATTTTAGGTTAGTTCACAAACTAATTCCAATCGAAAATCACTCAAATTAATCCGAACTCTGACAAATTCTCATAATCTTTATATATATAAATCTTCAGCTCATCTATGACTAATCACATACAGCCTAAACTGTGTGTACAAAAATCAATAGACTTCAATCTTCGCCTACCATGGACTACATGGCCTTTTAAATATGATCGGTCATTAGCATGTAATTTTGTTTTTTATTTAAATGAGTAATTGTCATGAACTTTATTTTATTATTATTAACCATGTTAGTTGTAAAGCATTGTGAAGAAACTACGGAATGATATCATCATCTCACGAAATTTGTCTTCTTAATGTCTTATTCAAATTTATCAAATGGACTAGTTGTTTCAATAAATATATCTGTATGCATATTCAAATATCAAGGTGATGGATACCTTCACCACCCCTAAGTTTGTCTACAAAGGGGACTGATATGAATTACATTAGTACAGTTGTATTCTTCCTATTCTAGAACTCTCCAGTAAGACAATTGTTGTGGTCCACCAGTTTGGGTTTTAGAATAAATACTCGCGGGTGGCACTGGTTGACAGTTATACTAGATGGTTGAAGGGTCAACCAACTGGTTTCTCAAAGTGAAGATCCCGATTTCGATCGCTGTTGGGTTATAGATGTGTACTGTCGATAAGTTCCTAGATTAGGCGAATGTCTGTCTAGTCCCCCTTACTGTACTTTTCAATGGTTCTCTAACCAAATTCAATCTGTGATCAAACTATAAATCATGTTTGTTGTAACATATTCTGACGACCTAAGCAATATAAGCCCCCTAACCAGCACAAATATTTTGATGAAATTCACCATCTCTAATACAATATCTCCTCAATAGAGGGGCGGTTAGTTCTCTGGACTTAAAATCCACTAGGATTTTCCCAAACAGGTTCATATACTGCACATAATGTTGTTATTTGTGTTGGCAGTTCAGCGGAAGAGTGCTCGTCAATCACGTACGTGGCTCGGGGTTTAGTCGCTGGCTGATGCGCACTCTAATCTCTTCTAGCACGTGGTAACATTTTCAAAAAGGAAAGACAGAGGGCAATCTCAACTCCATAAAAACGAGATAATTGAGACTGCTACGGAAACTTCAAAGACCAAGTTTGAAGCACAAAGGTTCCACTTGTAATGCAAAGAAACAGAACTGACAAATAAATTAATTAATATATTAAAACAATTAGTCCCTTTGATAAATTTGAACAAGGCATTAAGAAGACAAATTTCGCGAGATGATATCATTTCGTAGTTTCTTTACAACCGCTTTACAACTAACATGGTTAACAATGATAAAATAAAGTTCATGAAAATTACTCAGTTAAATAAAAACAAAAGTACATAGAAAATAAACATTATCCTATATCATTTTACAAATCACTACGTCGGAATAAGTCAAAATCTTCACTCTCCAACCTTCAGCATCTTGCTGAATTAGAAATTGATGAAATTAATGACAAACTTTCGAAATTTATTGAAACACACCAAAGACTAAATCCCGTTTTGGATAATTTATCTTTAGTATGTCGAATTAAATTCACAGTATTTTGCAATGATATGGTAAAAAAGACCATAAGTTCTACCGAAGAAAAATTAACAAAATCTTTGAAAGACTCAAATCATACTTTGGAATTTCCTCAAGATATCCACAAACATATAATTAATTTATCTACATGCACTCTATCCCAACTACAGTTGGAAGCATTATCTTATGGAATGAAGTACAAAACTATTCCCATGAAAATTAACAAAATGGAAGTCCAGTCACAGTATGAAAACCTGTATGACCAAATCTCTGATTTAACTCCCTCTAATAAAGATAATCTGGACTGGTTTAAAGTTAAACTGGTGGACATTTCTCATCAATTTCTAAATGCTAGAATACACCAGAAAAATGGTTTATCAAAAGAACACCACGCCGCACTTAAGGAATTAATCCAAAAAGATAATCTTGTGATCCTTAAACCTGATAAGGGAGAAGGCGTTGTCATTATGAACAAATCGGATTATCAAAATAAAATGAACGATATCCTCAAAGATCAGTCCAAATTTCTGCTGGACAATGCTACTGATAACGTGCTGCTTGTGGAAAAGCAGATCAATCGACAGCTTCAGATTTTACTGATGCATGGTTTTATAAATGAAAAACTTTATAAACAACTTAAACCAATTGGGTCACATACTCCTCAGCTTTATGGTCTTCCGAAGATCCACAAAACTGGGAACCCACTGAGACCCATCTTAGACATGTCAAATTCTCCTTATCATAAAATCGCCAAATGGATTACAGAGGTCCTTACGCCTGTAAGAGACTCATTATCAAATCATTCTGTAAAAAGTTCATTTGATCTTACAGAAATGCTGGACACCTTGAACATTAAGGAAAAGGTTATGTGTTCAATTGACATAGAATCTTTATTCACCAATGTTCCCCTTCATGAAACTGTTGATTTTATTTGCGATTACATCACAAGCAATGGCATAAACTTACCCATTCCCGTCACTTACATCAAAGACATAATCTTAATGTGTACAGAAAATATTAGATTCACATTCCAAGAAAAGGCATATAAACAAATCGATGGTGTTGCGATGGGGAGCCCTCTGGGGCCCCTGTTAGCAGATATATTTATGTCGAAATTAGAGAAACAAATGCAAGGTATGCTTGGAGGATTTATGCTGTATAAACGTTATGTAGATGATACTCTTATTATTGGTAATAATAGTGAATCTATTGAAAACTTCATTACTCTATTTAATCATATTCATCCAAATATTCGAGTGACTTCCGAACTAGAATCGAATAACAAACTTGGTTTCCTGGATATTACTATGACTAGGAGAAATGATGGAACGATTCAGCGCTCTATTTTTCGTAAACAAACATGGACTGGACAATATCTTCATTTTACCAGTTTTGTTCCTATCCAGTATAAACGTTCCCTAGTGAAATGTTTGTTCTCAAGGGCCCGAAAAATATGCACGAGTGACACACTGATGGATGAGCTTCGACATGTACATTCAGTTTTATTAGCTAATGGTTATCCGGAGAGCTTTATCACTTGTCACAGCAAAGAAAAACCACATCTCGAAAAGACAGCTTCTGTACCAAAGAAAGCCATCTTTATTAATCTACCATTCAAGGGCGACCAGATTATGCAGTTGACAACTCAAAGACTTCGATCAGCCATCAAACGCACATTCTACGCCGCATCTCTTTTTCTCACTTGCCGAACATTTTCGATCCCTGTTCCTACGATTAAAGGACGAAATTCTGTGGACTCTACTTCAAACTGTATCTACAAGTTCACCTGCAGCTGCGGTGACACCTATATAGGTAGAACTAACAGAATGTTCCAATGTCGTCGAAAAGAACATATTCCAAAATGGCTAGTAAACCATATCGAAAATCCCAACGCGATTAATCTTAATAGAAATCCAGCATCATCCATTGCAAAACACTTATTAATGTCTGGTCACAAAATAAATATTAATGACTGTTTCACAATTATTTCACATAACTCTAATTCAAGGTTATTGAAGGTGATGGAAGCACTTTGGATTAATCACATACAGCCTAAACTGTGTGTACAAAAATCAATAGACTTCAATCTTCGCCTACCCTGGACTGCATGACCTATCTTAATATGATTGGTCATTAGTATGTACTTTTGTTTTTATTTAACTGAGTAATTTTCATGAACTTTATTTTATCATTGTTAACCATGTTAGTTGTAAAGCGGTTGTAAAGAAACTACGAAATGATATCATCTCGCGAAATTTGTCTTCTTAATGCCTTGTTCTAATTAATATATGTTAGCTTATTTGACCTGAAAAGAGTGAAAGCATCTCTTCATTAATAAGTTAGGTTAAGGATATCGAGCTTATAAAGTATGAGGAGAAAATTCATGCTGCTTTTTACTGTAAATTCATAAATTTGGTGTCGATTCTAAATATGTGTATACTAACATTATACCTGAAAATGTTTTGGATCTCTTTTGACTACTTGCAAATGATTAAAGTAGTATGCTGCTATGTTAATATAATTACCTGAAGCTGGTTGTTTATCTCTTTTAAAAAATCTTCGCACATCCATAGGTTTATTCCAAAATTCGTGTTGCACACTTCGCAGTGGACTGTATAAACTAATCGAATCCATTGAAGGCTCATCTGTAACAGGGCAAAATAGAAAAGCATCAGGGAAATCAGTTCGTGTCTTATTACTCTGTTTCAAAAGTTTACAGTCACAAGAAGAGAGAGAGCTTTCACAATCGATGCATGGATAATTTGTAAGCCAGTGAATGATGTCTGTATGTTCATGTTTTACGGCTCCTCTACAAGTTTTGTTCGTGATTGGTTTGGAGATAGACAGTAAAAGTGCTGATCACTTGAAAACATTTTAGTTTCTCGAGTGGAATGCAAATGAGAAGCAACAAGTGTGTCGTCAGTGAGAAGGTGACATGAAGGAAATTGTGTGGCGTGGAGGGGATGAGAGATTATGAGCAAACATGGAGCTAGCTAAAAAGGACAGCAGGGAAAAGAAGAAGGTGAAAATATGTTGCTGAAATCCTATTTCCCACACCAGGAACACCAGGGAATAATAATAACACACTCAAAGACACTTTGATGATTTAATGTCCAGAGGGATCCAATTACCAAAGAATAATATAAATTGCCAAATAACACGTTATAACTAAAAGGCCAATGGAATAGGTCAGACTAGTAGAATAGGGTAAATCAGATGGTTGGAGTAAAGGAAATTTTACGGGTTGATCACGGATTGATATCAGTTAGAGAACCATTGAAAACCAGGGAGTACTGGATGGATGTCCCACCAACGACAATGGTTGGGGTCGCGCTAAATCACGAATTAGTAGAAGTTAGAATTCATGAGCCATTGAATCGGGTCCCAGTGGCTGAATGGTATACGAGCTTGCCTTGTAACCGGAAGGTCCCGGGTTCGAATCCCAGTGGGTGCGTACTGCCGATGATTCCCAAACTAGGATGAAACAGCAGCTGTCCAGTACTCCCTGGTTTCCAGTGGTTCTCTAACTGATATCAATCCGTGATCAACCCGTAAAACATAACTAATCCTTACAAACCAAACTATATAAAGGAAATTTAGCTACATCTAGAATTACTGAACCAACTAAGTCGAACAATCTAGAAAGTTGTTACGAAATCCTGATGATTTCACTTGCATGTAGTCAAACAGCAAGGTGGGATAAGGTGACAACATCAAAAATCAATCTAGTTAGGTTTAGAGAGAGTTTAATCACAGAACATTTATTCATAAAAAAGCAACACCAAATACGTACAAAACACAAACTAGACACATGAAGAATTGAAATATACAACACAGGTAGAGGAAAACCACGGAAATTCAAACTATGAAGTTGTGTGAATACATTGGGTTGCTATGAGCGGCAGAAAATTGTTTTCATAACGTTATCCAGTCATCAGGACTGTATCACCTTGTGTTATACATCAGACAAATGTATTTAATATTGAATTTTATAGTATCACAGTGCCGAAATACTATTCTTACATTCATCAGTGATATTATTACACATTGAAGTTTGTTGAGCTGAAAAAAGAAGTTATGTCAAATTCCTCGCCATTTTTACATTCAACTTATTATAATGCACAAAGTGTTTGGAAACTCCTTCCTGAACGATCTACTAATGTGATTTTTACTCATCAAGACGTAACAACTCACTCTGTAATATTGCACGTTTATCCCCTAGAATGTGTATCATCAATTTGACATATGCATATCACATATTGATTTTGATCTTAAGAACTTGGCTTTGTCCTTGTTTATTCTTTAATTGTAATACTTCTCTTTGTGGTTGTACGTATACTGACAATGTGTTGTTTAACAATATGAGTTTGTTTCAATGAATGAAGGTGATTTTTACCCGGGACTTTCTTTAGTGTGTGTGCAATTCTTGTGGACAGAGCTTTTGATCCCACGTCAGCGGAGAGAATATTCTCCCTGGTTCTAAGGTACTTTTTGGTTGACAAATCTTGTCTTAAAGTGCTTGTTTTGTATTTAGAAACCTATATTGTCTGTATAGCTACCTGACTGTACTGTTGAGGTATATCTGAGTTGTTCAGTAGAACCATTAAAATCTTGAAGAATAATCATCTTTTCTCTGCTTTTGATATGTGTCTTGAAGGCAAGTGCCTCAAAAAATTTTTGTCGGCTATACAATAGAAGGTAGAGGTCACTTGTCTTACGTTCAGACGATAACCAAATAAATTCGATCGTTACACTGTCTGTGGCCCTGGTACAACATTAGAAGAATCAGATCTTCTGAAGAAAAGCCTTTATCCCAAATGGATGCCCACTGAGTTTTATTGACAAGTATATCAAGCCAAAAATTCAGAAAATTGAGAAATAATGTGTGCAAATTAATTTATATGAATCTTGATTTCAAGACTGGCTTAATCTGCTATATTCTTAAGAGAAGAAATTCAATATTTTTGAAGGAAATATTCACCACAGTAACGCTAAGAGTAATGTCTTCGAGTTGTCTACCGGTTTGTAGAATCCTGATAGACAATATCTCACTTCTAACAACTTCTAACTGCAGTTTTCAGTTCAGCTGTTCTTTTACAGCCAGATATATTGGTCTTTACATCTAAACGATTGAAAAATACTACCCCATATACTTGCAGTAAGGCAACGGTTGCTCTATAAACAATGCGATAACTGAACACCTTGTCTACACTGATGATTCTATCGTAGTAGACTCCAGCTTCAAAGTAATTTAAAAAGCCGATTGGGGCCTGCATAGATAATACTCTCTCACCATGTTTGCATTTCTGAAGATCTAGCCATTCATTTAGAGGTCTACATGCAAAGGAGGGTTATCCAACCACTTTGACTGTCATGACAATCAGTCTGTAGTTTTCTACCAACTTGATTGTCTTATTTCTTTTAAGACATTCTAATTCTTGCATTTCTTTTGAATTCTTATATAATATTCCTTTAGGTTGCCAGTGGAACATACGGGTTCATTTTTACGAGATGGAGTTGCTAGCTTCATACACAAACTTCCTTCTTTACCAGTCTTATTACGGGTTTTGTGAGGTAAAAGAGTGAGTCTGTAGTCAGGGATCGAACCCCAACTATGATTATGACAATTTATCTCTTTTGTTACTGTTCCATTTTGTGCAATAATTACGATATGAATATGACTCTAGAGCCAGGGAAAATGAATTCGCCAAGAACAGTCTCTTTGCTGAACTACTTGTTTTGGGGCATTCCATTCGGTTTTACTACAGTATATCAAAACAAAAAACAGTTAACTTCAAAAATTAAGGATGAATAATCCCGTGAATAACGACTTCCAGTTTGGAACTGAGGATAATAGTTTTAAGTCTCATTGGGGACACCATCATCCACTGGGGAGAAAGGAAATGCAGATACATCCGGTTGATGAGTTCAAAACAGAACGAAATGTGCATCGTGAATCCAACTGCTAGTCAACTTCTAGTAAACAACATCTAAGAATTAGCATTATATGTTATCATACCATCCCTTAACAATCACTGTACATATTTCCCATTAACTTACCAAATTCATATCTGACTGGATTGCAAACGATCAACAGCGTGGATAATATGCTTAGAGCAAGCAAAGAGAAATAAATTTTCATGAACATTTCGATTGCTGAGATATAACGATAATTGTATACTGAAAAGGAAAAAGGAAAAAATTCACTTGTAATACTGTTTTTTACCATTGTTACAACAATGCAGATAAATGGTACTGTTTACAAATAAAGTACTTTATTTAAAGCATAACAGTAACCAGCATTGAAGAGGAGGCCTGTCTTTATACTACTCAGCTTTGAAGATGAATGCATTCGTATCAGTACAAGTAATAAATTGGGTTCAAAATATTATTCAGTCATTAATAGTGTATCACTGTGTATTGTATTGAATAAACTTGTCATACATATGGAATTCTATTTTACCAAAGTGCCCTAAACTCAGAGATTATGAAAGCAGATGACAAGGGAAGATGTTATTATGAATATCGTAACTGTGCAGTTTTCGTGTGACGATTTATGAATTTTAACTCCGAATGTAACCGAAAATTTTAAAAAATAATCTGTGAAATAACCGGTACTACGAGGTTATTTTTTTAAATTATTCAAACTACTTATTAGTAGTTCAAGTCAATTTTTGAAATTACGAATGTTCCATGCTATCATTTAACTTGACGTCTACTAAAATCAAATTTTATATCAGTCAAGCTTTCTAATACCATGACGGAGGATTGACCCTGTTTGCTGCTTATCATGGAGCAGAAGTTTCTGCAATTCTTAATATGTTTGTTGTTGGAGCGGACGCTATCCCCATGGTTTCCGAGTGGAACATAGGTTTTCAATAGGACATGTCAACTTCGTCCTATTCTCTGCAGTAATCTTTAGCCAGCTTCAAGAATGGGAATAAGCTTTCATGTCTTCCATCTCAGAAGGTCTCCTTCCGATGAATCGTTCCCTATTCGGGCCTGGAGCGTGGTATCAATCGACGGTCTCCTCAGAGTGTGTCCTATCAATCTGTAATTTCCTTCGCCATATTTGGTGAGCAACAGGTTCCCGGTTGGCTCTCTCCCAGAGTTTCTTGATACTACTTCATATAGTCTTCAGTATGCAGCTAGCGAAGTGGCCAGCTGTTGGTAAAAGTCTAAAGTAGTTAGTTATAAATACTTTTTGTGACGCTCAGTACAAGTTTCTGGACCATATGGAAGTATTGACTGACTCAACAATGCCGTCGAAAATCCTAATTGTTTTTATTATACTAAATTCGGGAGGTTACCAATCTGATTTCAGAGTAATGAAGGTCTTGCAGCCTACAGTTGAAACGACACTGCGTAGATAAGTGAAGGAAATGGCCTTGTCTAAATTTCTCGCCTTGATAGTGACTGATGCCTTTTGTTTGTTGGCTGGTTATCTCCCTCACCGCCGTCTTTTCTGTGTTCCTTTGAAGCCGCATTTCCGCTGCGTCTTCTGTCGACTAGTAGCTTTCTACCTGCAAATCTTCAAGTTTGTGTGATATTAAACATAAATAAATCATCAGCGAAATCCAGAACTTCTACAGTCTTCTTATCGGTTGTCCAGCATATTCCTGTCTTCTCGCACACCACTCATTCTTCCGCATAATTCACTCCACCACAGTTAGGGATATCATGGGTGACACTAGACAGCCTTGTCCTACTCCTGTCTTCACTTTGAAGGCTTCGCTGAGTTTTCTGGTTTGAATCACCTGGAGCATGATATTTTAATTCAGCTAGTGAGTAAGGTTGATAAAGATTTTTAGCACTCCATAGTACTGAAGTAGTCTACAAATTACCTCATGGTTAACATTATCGAATACCTTACCAAAGTCAATGCAACTAAAGTAGAGATTTAACTGTCATTCAATGCTCTGCTCGATGATGCTGCGTTGAATAACGATTTGGCCCTCACATGATTTGCTTTCCCTGAATCCAACTTATTCCGGTTGGATAAAGTACAGGACCTGCATTTCATCCTCTTTGGGACTTGCCAGTTGGATATACCTAGATTCACAGTAGGCGATGATACTCCCAACGTGAGTCAAACCAGAACCCATTGTTTCCAACGCTTAATTGAAGTCCACCTGAATACTGAGTCAGAAAAGTAATCTCTTATAGAACGAGTATCTGTTTAAAAAGTCAGTTTCCGTCAAATACAAATAACGAGGAGGGCGAATTAATCCAAATAATAATAGTAATAATAACAGGTATCCGTTTCACAGGAGGTGGATCTTGTGGCCAGATAGCATAATGTAACGGGATTTGAAGTTTCAAGAGACGGGTACAGGGTCCGAGTCTCATTCAGAATACCATTACTCACTGGGAAACGCGATTCGGCCAACCTATAGAATAGTGATCATGGAGTTCGAACTCACCAGTGAGTTTGAACGCAACATATTCCGTTGTTGTTAAAAGGCTAGTGACAACGCTGTGCACGAAGTGATGAGTAGATATTATCCTTATCTTTAGGGGTACCACTAGTATTAGAGTTGGAGTTGTGGTTAGGATTAAATTTTAATATTGTCAGTGTTGTTCCTGTAAATAAATATATAGGAGAAGATAGTTTCGTTGTTCGTAATATATGAAGCCGTTTTGATAGCTATGAAACTTAAAAACTGATCCCCTTCATTGCAATTGGGGAGTAATTTTCAGATACGTCGAAACAAAATGTTGTCTTTAATTTGATTCATTATTCTCATGGATTAATCGCTTTTCTATGTGGAATACACGTCAGATTCTCTAATATAACAGTTTGTGTGCGTTCACACCCCATGGTCGGCATTCTTTAAGTTTGCTTGCAGGTACATCCAACTGACGAGTCCCAAATCGTATGAAATCCTCTACCTGGACTCTACTGCTAGTTAAAATCAAGTAGAATAACTTAAAAGTCCTGAGGTTTTTACTGCAAGCTATGAGAATCTCAGCTAGTGGCTGAGGTCAAGCTTTAGGTCAACTGTTCTATCAACAAACTATTCATGACTGTCATTTTATTATGAGAACATTAAATTTCTGACCAGATTTTCTTATACATTCATTTGAAGCAGAATTAATTTATTAATTTTGTTACTTCGTTAGCTCAGTCAAATAATTTAATTTATCCATTTTTAGAATATTCCAAAAAAAAACGATTCATTATCTCTAGAAAAATATGCATACATCTAAATTTGAGCACGAAATATCATTCGTAATGATCATTATTGCCGATAATTCAATGCTTACTGAATGCGTTTCACTATCTTGTTGTTGAATGCATCCTTAGTTAACTCGATCATTTCGCAAAGACACACAAAGAATCTCTACTGAAACCCACAGTGTGTTATATCTTTCGTTGGATTCACTTTACTAAATATCCAAACGTAAAGAATGTTGTGGATTAGTTGCTTCACCTTTTAAACGATACCTTTTTCTCTCAATGGCTAGATAGTCAGGTGATACACATCTAGTAACCTGAAGGTTGTGCGTTTGACCCCCCCCCGCCCCCCACAGTGATGTTGTCATCCGCAAAAACTGCTTATAAGTAGCTGCCAAACAAATGATGATTAAGCTGTCTAATACTCTCTGGATTCATTTTCAATCCTCGTCTAGCTGAAATCAGCTTATGATCAAATTTGTCATCATTATTCCACTACACAGTAGTATTTTTCTCAAATTCTGATTTAATTGTGTTTTCCAAAATAATTGACTTAATTGTGAAGCTTTTTAGTCAACATTTTCAGCGCTGGTTTCATTATAGTTATATAGTTATATCTCGTACTGACAATCACTGTAATGAGTGGTTGTCGATGTACACGTATCTCTTGATCATTTTTATTTCATTTTATAAGGAAACAAATTGTATGAACTGTGATAAACAGTACATTTGTCAAAGTGGACCTCCTCTTCAACTAAGAATCCAGTAACACATAAATTAGCTATGGAAAGGCAAGATATGTATTCTTTTATATCGATGCATGTAAATAATTACGGGCACCAATTTGACAATGAAAGTGCAGCAATTTTAAACACCAAATAATACTTCCAGAGAATTTCTAGAAGCTTGGTGCTCACTCAAATGATTCAGAGAATAAAAATCACATTACCACAGACCAAATTTATCAACTAATGAAAAAAAAACAAATCACTGAACAAAAGTGTTTAAATTCAAGTGAACAGAAATTGTGGTGGTGTGATACAAACACTACAGTAAGAATCATTGTATTCGATGATATTGGATGGTTGGAGGCAATCGGCCACAGGAGGCCTTGCTTGACCTAGGTTCCGTGCTAGTTGGCACGCCATTGGTCAGTAAGGCGTATCTGCAACCTTGAAGGAACTCATGTCCCTGCTTCTGAGATTTGAACTCGCGTCACCCAGTGAGGCTGCAGTCAGAGACGTTACCACTGAGCTATTCGGGTTGTCTCGCGATTGACCTCCTGTAGGACTGTAGTGGGTATTTTGACTGAACACTAGTAACTAGTGTGATCTATCTAGTCCTCTCTTTGGTGCAGACTGAATTCTATCAGTCAGGTTTGCAATTTGGCCACCATTCTAGGTGGCTGGACATCACGGTGCACATTGATTTGATGATGGTTGGATGGTGAGTGCCAACTAGCACAAAATCTAGGTCCAAGGCTTCCTATGGCCGATTGCCTCCAATCATCTACTACCATCAAATCAATGTGCACCGTGATGTCCAGCCACCTAGAATGGTGGCCACATTCCAAGCCTGACTGATAAAATTCAGTCTGCACCAAAGAAAGGACTACAAACGTCACACTAGTTACTAGTGTTCAATCAAAATCATTGTATTCGTTGGTGTCAAAGTCTGAATACTATTCTCACAGCTCAGTAGTGCATTAGCAACAGAATACTATATATTTATTCGAACAATCCTATTTCATGTCGTCTAACACAAACGAAAATCACACACTGAGTGATTGGTTAACGAATATTTAACTGTTGATAAATAAACAGCGGTTTGATTAATGAAAAAAGATACCTTTGCTTCTGTGTCTTGCCTGCTGCTGTTACAAAATGATCAATGTAAAAATTAACAACAAGTCACACCGATGGTCTTCGGGAGGATATACAATCAAATCATCATTCATGGAAGACAATTCAAATAAGTTCATTTCATGCAAAAAAATCTTTGC